CTATGGACACAGTTTGTCTTTTTGTAAAGATTTGAAGCACGAATAGGGCTGTGGCTGCAAGTCGCCCTCTTTCACCCCCGAAACTAATGCAGGATGTTTTGTTTTTCCTTTCTTCCGATAGCTTGTTTACGACGTTAAACCTTGTGTTAATTAGTTGCTCTTTGACATGAAAGAACAAAAGTTTCAACAAATGGGGGGAATCCTCAGAAGACACGTGGCACTAAGGCGACGCTCATTTTAATAATTCTATAATTTAGCCTTTGAACATTAGTAATTTCACTTTTCTATCACAAAAACCCTTATATACTACCAGGTGCTCTTTCTTGCAGAGCTTTTGAGTTGAAAGTCTCAAGTGAAATCCAATAGTTCTTAAATGCCTTATCTTTTGAAAATATTTGGTAAGCATCCTATTTTTGGTTTTAGTAGGTTGGCACAGAGAAAGTCGAGTATATACGAATATTATTTTTCCCTTTTACTGTGAAGCTACTGTCATGTTTACAGATTAAAATACATATGAAATCAACAGAACAATTAATTTTTCCATGAAGGCAGCACACTCTGAGGTGTGACAGCAATTGCATTCCAAGCAATTACACTTCACCTAAATCTACATCTTTAGAGAAAATTAGAAAATGGCTTTAAAAAAGTCTTCAATTATGGTAATTTTTAAAATGTTCATATGGAGCTCAGTTGTGCACAAACATGTTCATTTAACCACTGTGGACTATGTAGGGGAGAGTGGGGTCGGTTGGGACAGAGGGCAGTGGGACAGTGCCTTTTTAGCAAGTTAAAAAGCAACTAAGCCATTCACCATCCTCATACTCAGCCACACACTCTTCACTTTCAACTTCAAAGTGGAGATACTCTGACCTTTCCTTACAGCTTATTTACATTTTTAAAAACTAAGTGTAGCTAGATTTTTGGCTCTTTATTTTTCAGACTGTTTTAGTTATGCCACATACAAAAAAACATATCACTGGAAAGCTGATTTTCTGGTCTATCAGCTGATGCTAGTGTGAGCTGTCTTTTGTTGGTAGCAAGGAATCCTGAGTCTTCTCTCCCTGGAACTGTTGGGACAGTTACTTATATCTACATTTTAGACAGTATTGTTTACAGCTCCTACCGTGTTACGAATCAACAAAAAGTAGACAAAAACAAGACAATGACGTTTCCTAATTGAATAAGGGCCAATGTGAAGTTACTGGGTGTAGAAGAATGCGTGAACTTCATAAAAGCCTATGTCAAGCCCTGAGCATGTTTTGAGTTTGTTTAAGCATGTTTGTTTTAAACTATTCAGACTATTTTTTGTTTACTCTCAAGTTGTTTTCAGTGTTTTTGGCAAAATGAGCCAAATTCAACAGCCTACATAATAGTGACCACATTGAGCTGATGAGTGGAGCCACTTAAATGAAGACTCAGCAGACAGCTGAGCAAGTCCAATATCTCAGTAATTTAGGAAAATAAAATGATTTCAAAAATCTTTTTTTCCTCAAAGATGTTTTTTAAATTTAAATGTTTTTTTTTTTTTTTAGCTAAGAACAAGGTGGTCCCAACCGTCTTGGGGAGGGTGAATTTTAGGGACATACATTCCCTGTAAATTTAAATAAACAGTGCCTAAAAAACGTAATAATATGTGAGCAGATAGGTCCTACCTGTATCTGTTTGGGTATCAAATTATTTTATATGTAGTCCGTGAGTTGATAGAATTGTCCCAGCTGACCCTGCTCTCCCCTACAAACCTGCCTGTATAAGGTATGATAATCAGCAGCATGCCATACACAGTTAAAGCCACCCTGTGCACCACAGGCTGAGCTCACTGAGTTACTGATTCAAAATGTTGGTCCATCCGTATTATATCAGGAATAATTATTTGAGTAGCCTAATACAAAATACCTTCTCACTTATCAGTCCATCAACATTATTATCAAAAGAGACACATCACTCTTCAATAGACCAGAATCTGCCTCAGCTAGAAAAGAGATTTGTGTCTGCAGCACGTGTCCTCATCATGTTGTTGTTGGAGGTGTTGTTGCAGTGCAGCACTCCGCCGCTACGAGGCGCTGTTTACACTCATGAAACTGCAACAAAAAGACCAAACGATGCCTTCAGGTGGTGTCGAAAATACGGAAACTATAAGTGGAATAAAGGTTAACAACCTAACTACTGTTGTAAATGTGAGTGTGCCACTTAAGTATCAACATTTTTAAAATGCGGAACTTTGCACATACATGGCTGTCACTTCAGTCCTTGTTTTATTTACCCAATAGCACTTGGGTCATAGGCTTACAAAATCAGCAATTCACACTCATGAACACAGTGTCACAGAAGAGTAGCTCAGTGCCACTTTGATTTATCAGAAATAACAGTTAAAGGTCTACCATCAATTTACCAATTTTCAGTTTTGGCTACTTTGAGGCCAGTAAAAAGCAAACTAATTAAAGAATTTGTTATTTACTTGGTAAATTTGAGTTTTTCAGATAAACTTCAAAATTAAGTGTTACTTTATGGGTTGTTCTACTCATTGGGCTAAATTAAACATTAAACCCATTGGACCAGTGGTGTTGTGGTAGTTGACAAGGTGGGTGTATTACTGGGTAGATGGGTAAGTTACTGAGGAGAAAGTGGGAATACTCTCCCATGTATTCCAATGGCTTTTTGGCTGATAGGTGGTTAAACTGTAAATGGCCAGAAAAAGAAGTGGTTATATCCTGTATACCTGCATACACCCTCCTCTACACCACAGTGCTGGACTGTGTGGAAAAAAAAAACATGGTCAAAGATGGAAATAGGACTGATTTTCTAAGTACATGAAACATTGTGGAGAAACAATACTACTGACAACATAAGGAAACTGTTATGAATAAGTGACCCAATCATATATTTCCTGTGGCAGAGGGGTTGGATTTATGAGCACAGTATGTTCCACAATCCTTGCTATGACTGTTATATTATGTTGTATTTGTAATTATTTTTATCAATGGCATTATTAGGCCTGGGTGTTCGAGGCCTCTGCCCTGAATGTTTTCTGAATAGCCCTGGATCTAAATAGGCTGTATGTATATTTATTAATTGATTATATCTTTTATTTTATTAATAATCTAAGTCTTTCAAATAACTTAAGCAGACAAATAAATGTAGTGGAGTAAAAAGTACAATATTTCCCTCTGAGAGGTAGAGGAGTACAAGGCACTGTTCGTTACTCATGAGGGAGGAGGAGGTGCAAAAAAGGGGGAGGCATGTGGGTTTTTTTTTTAAATTTTGGTTCAGGGGAGGGGCATACAAATTTAAAATGCCATATTTTGAATTAATGTTATGTGAAAACCTATGTTTGCATGTTTGCAAGAAACATGCCTTCCAAATTGCCACAATTACACCATTTACCATTGACAGAACCTGTAAAAACATGTCATGTCATGTCAAGATCCTCCTTGCCACTGGGGAAAAAGCACTTACAAAGAACAAACAATGGCTGATCATCATAGACGATATTCAGGAGATGGAGAATCTTACGTACAGGATACGAATGAATGAAGGACAATTTGAAAAAGACTGGGAGAAATGGTTAAATTACAAAACAAAAAGACAACAATATAAACAGTGACGCTGTCTCTGTTGATTTTTGGACTAGTTTACTCCCACAGGCTCTGTTCATTTTATGTTCATCTTTTGTTATGTTATTTACGTTTTTTTCACTTTTTGCATATAGCCAAGCAATGAAAATCCTTTAGATTTCCCACATACAGTATGTGAGACATTCTCCAGAAACAACTCCAAAAAGCAATGATGTAAAGGGAGGAAAGAAAATAGAAAGAATAGGATGAGGTAAAAGACAAACAGGGCAATTTATTTGTCTTCATTATTGACAATTGTATTTGTTTCCTATTTACACCAGATTATGACATCCTGGAGGAGAGGCAAAGTGGCTTTGAAAGTTGTTTGAGAACTCAGACCTAACCAGTTTTTACCTTTGCTTGATAATGTAACTGGAGTTTTGGTTTCAAAATTCATTTATTGAGAAGACCAGTGAGGAAGTAGAAAGTGGTGTGGCTGAACAAAAATTTGGAAGTGCAATGACGGACTCATTGGGATTTGTTTCTATGTAAGAATGTATTCTGTGGACAAATCAATAAAAAGGATAAGTGGGGGAAAAATGTGCAACGAATGCTTTTGTCAGAAAAAAACACACACAATCAAAGGTTAAAATAGTGATATTTCATCAAAATCACTCTAATCTACATGTCTCATTTAAAATTTGGCAAAAAATAAACCATTAAACCACTAAATGACCAGCATGCAAGGCTTTTGGTCTTCAACTTTTTGGGAGGGTCATGTATTTCCCACCAGTCACTCAGGGAGGCTCAAGAAAAAATATTTGTAGCTTTGTGGAAGGTAAAAAAAACCAAACAAAAAAAAAAACCTCCACTACCACTAATAAGTAAAGAACAGTCCCTAAGTATAAAATGGAAATGTACAAGTACCTCAGTATTGTCTAAATTTTAATGATATTAGTTGCAAAGGGTTCTGTTTCTACTCAGTACTAATCACTAAAAACTATTAATATTTTTGATGTCACAATTCACCATTTATGTGGAAAAACCTCCCTGATTTTTAGTGAATAAAGTCACCGATACGGCAGACAGTTGTAGTTTTCGAACAGCACTTGAACGCAGCATAAGCTCTTTGCTAACTCATCCGGCTGTGAGCGTCAAAACTGCTACGCTCCTGTTTCTCTACTCCTAGATCTACAAATCAGGCGGTGTCACGCGGACAGGGAGTGAGCATGTAGTCAAACTCCGCCACAGCATTGTTAGATCTACACGTTCAGCCCGCGCGCAGCTTTATGAGCCTGCTGATTACTTCCTGAATCAGGGTTAGCTTGCTGCTGTGTTTGATAGTAGCATGTAGATGAGAGCGGAAGACTCAAAGCAGGCTACTGGAGGTGACTTTCCTGAGTAGCAGACACAAAAAGAGGGCTTTCGGTGAGAGTTTGCCTCGACAACATGGATTACTGGGTGAGTGTCGCTTCACTTTTAGTCTGTTTTTATCAGAGGACGGCGGCAGTGCTGCTACAAGACGCTTTAAGAGGCGAAGACTTGTTTATCAATAGTGAAGTGAGCTAATGAGCCGACTTGTTTTGCTCTCAGGGATGCTCCAAGTCCACAAAGACAGTGTTTGACCGTCACCCTTGATAAGAAAGCCTTACGTCACATAATTTATGGCTGTTTATGAAGAAACACTTCACCTACACTGATACTTTGGCTCCTGAAATGAGACATTTTACATAAGAGGAGTCAGAGTATTATTTCAGACACCTATAATAAAAAGTGAACAATGGTGCTGCCTAGATATGGCTTCATGTTACCCTTTCATTAAATGAAAATCTGATTTATTTTTTGATGTGGTGCCTGGTTGTAAAGTTTAGAGCTCCTTCCTATTGTTTATTGCAGCAGCCAGTGTTTAAAATTAGAGATCCTGTTCATGTTAAACCTGCAGGAAGTTTAAACAAAGCACTAGTCTCAGTACTGCCACCAGAGAGCTGTTGAGATTTGTGGGGTTTTCCTTAAAGGAGCAGAATCAAGTTTTCTTTATAGTGGACATTAGACTGAAGACTCAGCACCAGGGGGCAGCTCGTCTGATACACATCTGCTGTCAGTGCAAAATTAACCCCTAAGCTGTCTGTCACAGGGACTCCTCCTGATCAGTTCAAGGAAGAGAAAGAAGAAGTAACTCAAATAGCTTGTTTTCGATTACGCTTTTAATGCCAGTTCCTGTCCCCATAGCCCTGAGGCTTTGTAGACATTTAAAGCAAACACCACAGCTGTAATTACTTCCCCCTGAATGATTTCTGGATCTCTGTTTGACTGAAAGCCATTGTGATGTTGTGCTTGCAGTCGCTTTTCCCTTGATGTATCCAGGAGCCGCAACCTCACACGCAGTACATTTCCATGAGAACATGACCTCCCCTCTGAGACAACAAAAGCTCTCCTTACAGAATAGTCAAATGTTGTATGAGGGGGAGCAAAGGAATGGGCGTCCACAGCTCAACAATGCATCGGACAATACTGGTACAAGTGTCTTTGTGTGGACTCTGTGTAAGTTTTCCTGAGGCAAAGATAGCATTGAATGGTTTGGGCGGACCTGGGGGCGAAATATAGACAGAAAAGTGTTGGGTAACAGAGAGAGGCCAGTATCTGAAGGGGCAGACTTGCCTTTTGCACAACTGTAGATAACACAGTTTAATATGTTCTTTATGACAGTTGCATGACAGCAATCTCTGATGGGCTTTTCACCTGCACTCTACCTGCACATACAAACGTGATCCCGGTCATGAAAGCTCAAGTCAAGCCTCCCAGTCAACATGTTAATGGCTTATTTTCCATTGCTTTCCACCCAGCTCTATGCAGCTGATCTGGCCAAACCTGTATAAGAACATGTTATCCAAACAGGCAGGTATGACAGCTGCAGTGTGGGCAGGGGGGCGGACTCCTGCAGCTCGCTGACAGCCCTCCACTGAAGCCTCATTCACTAAAAATACCTTGTTATTATCATCATCAAACTCTTTATGTACCTGGGGCGTCGGTGGCTTAGTGGTAGAGCAGGTGTCCCATGTACAAGGCTGTTGCCGCAGCAGCCTGGGTTCGACTCCAGCCTGTGGCCCTTTGCTGCATGTCACTCCCTCTCTCTCTCCCCCTTTCACACTTGTCTGTCCTATCAAATAAAGGCTAAAAATGGCCCAAAAAATATCTTAAAAAAAAAAAAAACTCTTTATGTACCAGTTTCCCCTGTTAGCGGATGATGCTTTGAATAACATAATGAACACAGCGTTTCAATTGCGCAAGGGAACTATTATGGGATGTTTATATCAGGCGGCGCAGACTGGGATTACTTAAGATATTGTATTTTGAACCTTAAGCTTTTCTCCATCTGATTGTGGCTGAGGTGAAGAAACAAGGTTCCTCGTTATCAAGCTGCCTGCTGTTGTGTCATAAAAACACCAGTGTGGAGAAAGATAATGGAAAGATAATTTTGTTGCACTTATGAAATAGCGTTTATAAGTCTGTTACTGTGATTTTGCAGTGATTCATGCTGGCTTTGATCTTCTCAGTCTGTGAAAACTGCTGCATTGACATTCAGACTGACAACATTTCTGCATTTTTTTTGGTGATCAGGCATGGAAATAAATGTGCAAATTGCAAAATATCAGTCATAGTTCTTTTTATTGTGAGACGAACTTCCTGTCATGTGTGATCATGATTGATTGCAAAACATCCCCCCGCAGGCTGGATGTGTTGTTGCTGGTTTGGGTGCAGGGAGGAGTCTGGTAATAGTTGTCTAGGCAGCTCAGAGCATTCTCTCACTCTCACCTGGAGAAGGAAGAGATGACTCTCTGCTGCTGACAGTGTTATTAGTGTGAGGGGGAAGCTGAACTTTGTAGGTCTGACAATGTCTCCAGAAGTAAGTACTTAGTTTTGGGATTTGTGATATTGGCATTGATACACGTATTCATCGTTAATCATACTTGGATTTTCAATATTTTGCATACAGTCGTCTTAAATTGGGAGAGATGTATTATTGACTTATAATTACTTTGGTGACATAGATATTTTTAACTTCACTGTGAAAGTATGCTCACGTGTTGGGGGAAGGGTCTTTGAAAGCTTACTTGTCTCTAAAAGTAACTAGTTACAATGTTACTGTTTCGTTAGTGAGTTGATGTATTTTGAGTATTTTTCTGTTTCATAGTGTGTATGTTTTGTGAAATTCAAGACAAATTTCTCTTTGCTGTAATTTCTACTTCACTGTTTATCTAGCATACTTGTACTGTAGTTTTTTCAGTGAGCAATAAGGCATTTCCAAAAAGGTCATGCAGTCACACTGACTCATTGAATAATCTTTTGCACATCGAGATTTAGGGCTTGATTTTACAGTACTTTATCAGATATGCTGGTGCATTACTGTAATTTAATGTCTAGATAGATACACAGGAACATTTGAAATGCAGGTACACAGATGACACATCTTGTCGTAAGAAACCTAGTAAAAATTCATTGAATTTGAATCTATGCCTCATTTTGAAATGAAATGGTCATGATGGTGTCAAACAATGTCAGACTTTCATCAGCATAGAGTATGCAGAAAAGCCACTGCTCCACCCAACTCGTTCTTGGCATGGTGCTGAAAACATCAATGAGTCCAAATTGGTAGAAAAAGATTTCCACACACTTACATCTATGCTGTGTCTCACTTTATTGCTGAACTTTCGGTCTATTCGACCTTCATCAGAGCATCAACATAGAGTATGCAATGGCGACTTCCCCATCATTGCAAAGTATATATTATAGGGCCGTGCATTGACCAAAATCTGGTGATGTGATGCGTATCACGATACAGGGGTTACAATTCAATATATAGTGAGCAAGGAGATTTTTTTTTCAGTCTAATCTTAGGAAAATTGTCATAGTGTAAAAACACACCACTATATATATAAAATCTGAGTAAAAAAGTTTACTTTTTTTGTACAGTCAGAACAGTGAGATCTGCTTATGTATTTATCACAGTCCCTGTAACATGTTAGTGATACATTTATATGTTGGATTGGTAAAAGTGAAATGGCAGAAGATACACTACAACACTGCTGTCAACAACTCAAAATGATCACTGTCACAAATCTTTGCATGTTAACTATTACATAAAAAGCAGTAGTGTTTTTAGAATCGATTCAATATCACAAAAAATAATACCACCATACTCAAGTGTATCAGTGTTTTCTTAAACACTCCTAAACTACATTAAACAAATATTTGTAACAGTTCCATTGTGATCTAAGGTTCTTGTGTTCTTAATTAAAAGCAACCATGTTGTAACATACAGTATGCGTGTCTGTGTCCAGAGTGCCTTGGAGGTGTATAAGGAGATGGTCCTGCTGTACCTGGAGGAGGGCCAGCGGCAGGTCAACTTGCGTTGTGCGGACCTGGAGCCATGGCAGATCATTGGAGCGACTGTCCTCACCACACTGGGAGCGGTCTGGATCAAAGGCTTTCTCTTCCAGCAAGAAAGTAATCTTTCACACGAGATGCATGGGTGCAGAGAACAGGGACTAAATCAGACATGATGAGACATGAAAGGAGATAACAGCCTCCTAAAATTGTAGAAGTCATGTTCACAAAGCTTTTGAGTTAATGCTCCTATTTGGCCATGTTAAAAGTGAGTGAGTTTGACTGCCATACTCTAATTTGTAGTCATATTCTCTGAACTGTCAGGTTTACTGATAATCTACTGGATGGTATCTTAAAATGTGGTCTGAGCAGTTACGTGAATAGATTTTTGATAAAAACCTTTTGTTAAAGTTTCACTGGTGCTCCACAGTTATTATCTCCTAGCACAGTACTTGTTCCTCTTGTATGTCTGACTGAGTGAATACCTTCAAATCAACAAGACTTTCTAGATCTGCTATCAGTCAATCAGTGGTTGGATCCCTTAGCAACAAGGTCAGCTCTGCCCGTCCTACTTCAGCTCTTAGAGAGTGAATGTTGGTCAGATTGAGGCTTTTTGAAGAAAACTGCACATCTTCAGTGCCTTCAGGGTCAGCATTAAATGCTTTGTGAATATGGCTCCGATTTTCACTGAGCACGTCTTGTCTTGACGCGTGATTATAGGTCATAGTCAGCTGTTTAATGTTTGTGGTTGATTGTGTGCCAGCCTTTCACCACAGCTGCAGCCTTGTGTTTTTGGCTAATAGGTCTCCCGTCCCGAATCAAGAAGCTGTGCTTTCGACTCATCAGGAAAATACCCTTTGTTGGCGCAACAGTAAGTATCAGTGGTGAATGTGTTCCTTCTTTTCCCAGCAGATGTGCACTGACTCTGGCGTCTAAGACTCTTATGAGTCACTCTTGGATGACTGAGTACAGCGTGCAGGGGGGGGGTCAGACCTTTGGCACACTTAACATCACGCACTGGTGATAACATTCAGTTACTTCTGGTCATTATGTCACCAACGGAGAGCTCACTTTCGGGCTTTATCAAAAATTTACACAGACTGTTGATAAAACAGTGGACATGTTGTCATGTTCAGTCTGAAACACAGTTACCTCACATTCCCTTATTTTAGGGAATAAGTTAGGGGTAATGTACAGCGAGCAGGTCATTATTGCAAAATGAACCCTGACAGGGTGATACAGGTCTTATATCACCCTATAGCGTGTCAGCCCCCTTAGTCCTCCATGTTAAAATGTCCAACTTACAGCCTGGGTGAATTTTTATATAACTCACCCATTTAAATCTTATTAAGGCTTAAAGTTACGCATATTTAAGGGCGTGGCCACTTTGAGTTACAGATGGGTGCCTTTTAGTTTTATAACGTAACCATGGTGTAACCCCAGATATACAGAGTATCGATGTACCTGTAGCTGCTGCAACATCAGTGTGTTTCCAGTCCCTCAAAGTTAATTTAATGATTTGGTCGCATAAAAAAATTCAGTGTTGTACTGAAAAAGCTAGCAAAAAATAGCATTAGCATTTTCACAGTTAATCATAGCTGTAAATGCAACATGCTAACCAAGCTGTCAGATGGCAAGGTAAGCGCCATCCTCTCATCCAAATATGGTCACTTCCAGCTCCAAAAATCCAAAATGGCGATGGTTAAAATGCCAGTCTGGAGGCTTCAAAACGGGAGTCCACAAACCAATGGGCGACATCACCGAAGCTATGCCCAGTATTTTATACAGTCTATGGCTTCACGTTACCTCGCTTTTTACATGTTTGCCTACTAAAGAAATCAATACTGTAACACAAAATATAGATTTTAAAACAATTTAATTTATTCAAACATGATTTTATACCTTCCACCAGTCTATGATCAGAACTGTGTCCATAGCAACAGTCTGTTATTTATAGCAGCGCTCTGTTATTCGGAAATTACAGACCATAGAATGCCATAAATGACCAATCAGAACCAAGTATTCAACAAAGCCGTGTAATAACACGCTTTACTTTACTGTTGTTCTTACTGCATACTGAGACAGTCGATGCCTATAAAGTAACTCTGTCCTCTTTTTTATGACAGATTCAGAGTCAGCTCAACAAGGCTCTAGATGACATGTCTGCTAGCCTGTGTACTCTGAAGGAGGGGATGAGCTACACAAAACAGCTGCCCTCTAAAGGCCTCTCTCAGAGCCAAGTGCTGGACAAAATCAGAGAGTACGAGACTCTGAGTAAGTCATCAGTCATCCCTGAGCTCCATTATCTGTATAGGTGACTTCCTGTAGAGGATTTCTAGTCCTCATTACTGATAGGAAACTTTGAGGTCTCTTTTAATATTGAAAAGTAATGTCTTGTGTCATTGCAGATGAGGTGCAGTGGGAGAAAGGATGTGTTTCCGGTGCAGTATACTGGGGAGATGAATCACTGACTAATCTCCTGGTGAAGGTATGCATCTTTCTCTGGACTTTCCAAGCAAGATTAGTCACATGAATACATTTTGGTGTTGGCGACAGTAAAATTGAATGAGTTGTTTTTTGTTTCTATTTTGCACTTTTTGACAAACAACTCTTGTTCACTCCTTTAAAAGAGACAACTGTGACCCTGGTGTGTGTGTGACTAATTATCTTAACTTCTTTTGGCACTCTTTTCCTTTCCATTTGTTCCTAGGTATATGGAGATTTTGCGTGGAGCAACCCACTTCACCCAGACATCTTTCCTGGCGTGAGAAAGATGGAGGCAGAGGTTGTCAGAATGGCGTGCACACTTTTCCATGGTGGACTGAATGCCTGTGGCACAGTGAGTTTTCATAAACATATGCTCAAAAATCATCTAAGCTGAGGTTGGATGGATCCAAAGCATTTCGACAACTCTCTGCCTTTGTGTCCAGGTTACCTCAGGGGGAACTGAGAGCATCCTGATGGCCTGCAAGGCGTACAGAGACATGGCGTATGAGCGTGGTGTCAAATACCCTGAAATGTAAGATGAGGTTTATGAGATATGGTTGATGAGTAATTCTGAGTTGTTTTTTTGTTCAGTGCTTTTATCTTTGTCAGGTCTTAGTATAGCCATGAGGAGGTTTTGGTTGGGACTATTTATGGGCAGTTAGTGTTTTTTTTGTACTGCAGCAACAAATTTACATCAGGTTCAGAGGATTGTCTTTCATTTAATCTATGAACGGTTGCTGTTCCTTGTTAAAGGTTTCACTCTTGTTTGTTAACCAATGTGTGATATTCTTTGGTGGTATAGCATTAGTAATTCCACATTCAAACAGGGTACAGGATTTTCTTATTTCCATTTCAGTGTGACACATTTTTTGGCTGTAATCAAGATTTTTGCAAGCTCAATAGTGGTGCCATGACTACAGTTTAACTTGGTGAAGTGTTGCCCAGATGACAAATTCAGTTTGCCAGCTTCCTTTAGTTCTAACGCCAAATTAAAAATGTATCTCATCTCTTGTACTTGTCAACCATGAATAACATGATATGGCAGTATTGTTCTTAATCATGGTCTTGCCAGTGAAGAGAATGAATACAAGACATTTTAAATTGGCAGTCTTAAAGATTTTAGTCCTGGTTGATTTTTGCAACACTCACCCACATGCACTGGTGGTAACAGTGCATGTGGTTAAATACTACACGTCACAGAGATCTGGAGGTAACAAAACAAACTACTGTAATTTTAATAAAAAAAAGTCAGCCAATAATTGGCTCTGTACCACCACTCTGATCAACCATGATCTGATTTTACACTGCACACAGCATGAGTCTACTGACAGCAGGGAACAGTAAAAGTAAAAGTTGGTTACCTTGCTCAGTCTTAGGTATGCAGCCTGTTGCCTGCAGCTCTTTGTCTTTAACAGCCCACTGTGGCTGCTCTTCCTTGTTCAGTTGCTCCTTGCAACACTTCAAACAGATCCACTGTCAAAAAGTGACAGAAATGACTGTTGTCTTGTTTTACAGGCAATTTTTTTTAAGAAAAATGTTGGAAAGGGCAAAACTCGCTGAAAAACAAGCATTTCCTGTGACAACTCCACAATAAGTCAACTCATGTTTGGCCAGTTTTAATGTGAAGCTGCAGTGTTCGATTTGCAGTAACCTAACAAAGCTTTTTTTTATCAAAAAATGTCGCCCTCGACAAAACTGCAAATATAAATATATTGCATTACTTTAATCACTGGGCCATAGACTTAATCACCACTGTGTTGCGACCTTACAGGAGATTATTACTTGAAGACTTGTTCCTCACTGCGTTTTCCACAAAAGCACTAACATTATTTTTGTGTTTTTCTACTTTGTGCAGTCTTGCACCTGTGAGCGTCCACGCAGCCTTTGACAAAGCAGCACATTACTTTGGGATGAAGCTTGTTCACATTCCCCTCGACAAGAAAACCATGAAAGTAGATGTGAAGGTGAGAATACAGTAGATACAAACAGTATGTGCTACTTGACTGCTATTCTTAGACACTAGTTATTCCCATATTGTTTATTCTTTTTCAAGGCTATGAAGAGAGCCATCAGCAAGAACACCGCCATGCTTGTGTGCTCAGCGCCTCAGTTTCCTCATGGAATAATGGATCCCATTGAGGAAGTAGCCAAGGTCAGAAGTGATACATTTTTTCTCTAGAACTGGTCTGAGATGAAAACAGGGAAGTCAAATCTGTGACACTTTCCCTTGGTGTGTTCCAGCTGGCTGTGCGCTACAACCTCCCACTGCATGTGGATGCTTGTCTGGGAGGGTTTCTCATTGTCTTCATGGCCAAGGCTGGTTACCCACTCGCCCCGTTCGACTTCAGGGTAAAAGGTGTCACCAGCATCTCTGCAGACACCCACAAGGTAAGGAGTGGTTTTTAATTTCCTTCAAACCAGTGCTTCTTTTAGGCTTACATACTCACCTCTTGTTCTGTTCTTTACCAAACTAAAAAAAACAAGTACACAAGGTTTTAAAAAAAATGATATGACATATCCAAGAAATAGACATTTCAAAGTAATAGTCATGGAATTTAAAGTGACAGTTCACCCGGAAAACAAAAAACACTTTCTGTTTGCTATTTATCAGTCTAGATTGTTTTGGTGTGAGGTGCTGTGTGTTGGAGATAAAGGCCGTAGAGATGTCTCACTTCTTTCCAGTATAATGGAACCAAATGGCACTCGTGCTTGTGGTGCTCAAAGCGCCAAAGAATACGTTTGAACAACTTAACAGCAATTTCACTTTCCAGAAATAATGACCTGGCTACTCAAGATAATCCACAGACCTTGTTGTGAGCCATTTTCTATCAAACTACACCCACTCACTTTATCACTGAGCAGAAAGAAGCGTGCAATCTTAACTGACTCCAGGCCATACTTTTATAGTTATTCTCATACTGCATTGTCTGTGTGTGTTTGTGTCCCTGCATTCCTCTCCAGTATGGTTATGCCCCTAAAGGTTCCTCAGTGATCCTCTACAGTGATAAAAAGTACCGTCACTACCAGTACTTTGTAGCTCCTGACTGGCAGGGGGGAATCTACGCCTCGCCTTCCATTGCAGGCTCCAGGCCTGGAGGAATCATTGCCGCCTGCTGGGCGACCATGATGCACATGGGAGAGAATGGATACATCGATGCCACGAAGAAGATCATCAGCACAGCACGCAAAATCAAGAAAGAGTGAGATACTCACGCGTATCGACAGTCAAACAGCGAAGATGTGTTCATTTACAGTGTCACGTCCAACATTTAAATTACATTTTGTTGTTTTTTTGATTGACAGGATCAACAAGATAAAAGGCGTGTTTGTGTTTGGGGATCCAGAGGTGTCAGTGGTGGCAATAGGCTCAGACGTTTTTGATATTTTCCGTCTGTCTAATGCGCTGACGTCAAAGGGCTGGAATCTGAACACGTTGCAGTTCCCATCCAGGTACATATTAAAAAAATATATCAATTGAAATAAAAAGTAATATGATGATAAATAAGTCAGTAGTGTAACAACTATATGGTCTTCTTTCTCTCTTACAGCATCCACATCTGTTGCACAGTTCTGCACACACAGCCGGGCGTTGCTGATCGGTTTGTGCGTGATGTCAAAGAGCAGGTTGCTATCATCCTCAAGAACCCCCAAGAGAAAACCACAGGAATGGTGAGCCAGCTCTGCTTACACACCTGTTGACTTTGCATCCATACACTGAATATACAGTATGTGTAACTAGTACATTCATATGTAAGTAATCCCTAAAAGAACAGCTATGTGTACATTTGATTTCATGCTGAGGGAGTTTTATCATCTCATCTCAAGATATACAAGGACACCAAAAAAGATGGCACTAAAGAAGTAGATGAATGAGTGCTTTGTGAATTTATTAGAATTAGTCTGACAACATTATGTCAAGGATCTCTAAGGAGATAGACCTTTTTGTTAAAGAGTAAGATCCTTTTTGTTTATCCAGAAACAGCCCCAAAATAGCCATCCCCACTCCATTTATATAAACAGTAATTTTAGTGTGTATAGAGCCAGCATGTTTTCACATCTAACTGGGTGAATTAAGGGTTCATGTCAACTTAACCAGAGTTGGTGCTTGTGGAACAGTGGAAAAAGGAACGAGATGAGTTTTCTGAGTTTGATTTTGTTTCTGTGGACTTTGAATGACGTGCGTTTTACAACGATGTAAGTAATGTTTAATTTAGTTTAATTTGCTATAGCCTTTTTGGGGCTGTTTCTGGATAAACAAAAATAATCTTACTCTTGAACAACAAGGTCTGCCTCTGTAGGGAACCGTTACATAATATTGTCAGACACTTAGAATACCAATCTGAGCCTGTCAGTGACAAAAACAAGCACTTTTAGTGGACGGAATCTGATGGTGTGCATATGCCTTGAGTTGTCGTGTTATAGCCTGTTTCGTAGCTGCCAGCTGCAGCGCTTTCGTGCAATACTGGACCCATTATAAAAAACTGTTTCCATTAGTCATTTACACACAAATACGTGGGAGAATAGGGTCCAGGTTGAAAAATTAACAAGTTAAGTTACCTTAACTTGTATAACACCCTGCAGGATCTTAAGGACTAAGTCCCCACTTCGAAAATAACATTTTTATTTTTAATTTTTAAAAATGCTGAAAAAAGACTGCAATACCTTCAGTGCAGCTACAATAGAGTATGATATCGTAGTCTATCTAAAGTAATAATAGTAAATGACACTTTGTGATGTTAGCTCAGACTCTATAACTCACCATTTTGATTTGATGTTCCACAATCACATAGTGTTTCCTGTTATCTTTTGAAGCAACATGTTGTCAGTCTATCACACAGACGATTGCTGAAAAATGTAAACCTACAGTCAATTTACAGTACTGTTTCCAGTTCAGCTGACCTGTATGTCTTTAAACTGTAGGAGGAAATCAAAGAACGCAAAGGAGAGAATCCTGTTAGTGTGTTGTTGTGTATTCAACCAGTGCATCTGTCATTAAGCCAAGTGTGAGATGACAAGCCATGTGAAATATGTTTGCCAGTCTCTCTTGTTTATACTGCTGTTGGTACACGTGGCATTTTGTTTTTGTGCTGCACAACCTGTCAATTGAACAACACGTGCTGTTTGGTGTGTCAGTTTTGAATGGAAGGAAACTCCACCCAACATGCACAAACCTGCCCTGTGCCAGTCAGGTTTCCGACGAGCACATCTGTGAGTGAAGCGTCACCTTCAGTTGAATAAAAGAGAACAGAGGCCACACATGAACCAAAATCTCAGTGAAAAAAAATCCTGAAATAACAGTAAAATATAAAAATATCAGTATACAATAAATAATCTAGTTAACACATTTGAGTTTATTTTAAATTTCTTTATGAAGTGTACTATTTCTTCCTTCATTAATTATTTGACAATTACTTCACTTATTTCATCAGGACACAGCACATGGAGACAATTCAGGTACCTTAAAACTGTTAGCACCTGATTGCCACAATTTTTTCAAAAATCTTAGTCTTTCTCTGAGTTATAACTCAGTCAGCTCTGAACACACAGATATGAAACACATATTTGATTCAGTGTGTAGAACACTTTCAATATCATCATATCTGCCATGTATCCATCATGAATAAAGGTCCATAAATCTTTTATCTTTTATCTCATTATAACCCCAGAACTTGCTTGAGAATCGTCAGGTTTTAACTTTATATTCAGTCTAAAAATAATCCAGTGATAGTTGTCTGTACATCTGTGGGTACACTGCACACAGACATTGCTAATACCTAACTCGGCATCCTTCAAATATTGACACAAAAATGTTGTCAAGTTATAACACACATCTTGCTTATTAACTCCATATAAAATCATACTTCATGCTTACCTCCCCCAAAGCTTTAAGGGAACTGTAGTTTGGAAACTTAGGGCATGGTTATCTACGGAATTGAAGTAAGACAAAGATTAACAGTGACATCGATAAATATTAACTTTTTTTCCTGCTTTTGTCTGATGGGAATTTTGCACTGTCTGACTACAGCCACTGGGCAAACACAGTGACTCTCCATCTATAATATATGTACACCAATCAGTAAATAAGGTTGATTATCTTGTTACAATGCACGTTAAGTGGTGTCCATATGAATGTCAGGACCAAAGGTTTTCCTGCAGAACACTGGATTTTAGCAAATGATCAATGGTATTCACTTCACCCACCAGTAGCTGTAATGTTTTGGATGATCGGTATACACAGCTCAGAGGAAATCTGTTCTCTGTGGGTTTTTAAAAGGTATGCTGGGAGATGTAGGAAAAAAATAAAGGAAGTGCAACTATTGAAGGAAGGTTTATAAGAAAAGTAAATCATCAACCATTTCCTGAATTTCTCAGCACACCACACCAACACCACAGACTGGTGACAGTCTATAAGTGTAAATGAAGTGTGTGTTTTTCTTTGGCTACTGTGCACCTGTGAACTCACCTGTGTCTTCCTGTTGTTTCAGGGAGCAATCTACGGCATGGCCCAGTCTATCCCAGACAGATCCATGGTGACGGAAATCTCCCGAGGTTTCCTGGACTGTCTCTACAGCACTGAGGTGTCAAACGTCAGCCACATGAACGGTAACGGCAAAGCCCACTGAGGCAGGATCGGGCCAGGAGGGCCCGACCCCACCGCACGCAGGGAAACACGCTCGCCTCCTCCCAGAGCACTGAGCTAATTGCTCAACAGTTGCCTTATCTTGCATACCTACACCATATGGAAAACATCTGCAAAGATCTTTTGAAGCACAAGCCATTGTCATTTTAATCAGCCCAGAGGGAAATTGCTCGTAACACTTTGCCTCAGTGGCACAGAGAAAAAATGACTGGTTCCAAACGAGTTTTAGTGTTTTCATTTGATTTTGTTAATGTAGTGGAAGTGTGTGTGTTTGTTTTTTATTTGTTTTAAAAGTTCATTTCAATTTTAGTTTTTGTTAAATGCATATGTCTGTCATAATTTCTACTGATTACAAAGCAAAACCATTCCTTTTTTTTATTTTTACTGCCGCAACATTTCAGCTTGTTGCCATCACCACTTCACTATCTGTGATGACTCCGCAAAAACACAGACCACTGAAAGCTTTTTAGAAACGCTGTGCTGCCCTCTAGCATGACACCTGATGTACTGCTTTAAAATGGCTCTACACATGGAGGCCGGCTGAAGGTGAAAGTTATCATTATCATGTAGCAGTTCTCTGGAAGACAGCATTTTTAATGTAAAAGCACTGCAATGGCCTGACGAGAACATATCAGGGTTATCTGTGAATCACTTGAAACAACAAATTCCGATGTTATGATTAGAAGTTTGTCTGTAAGCATGAACATGCATGTCTTTGTTTGTTAGCACTTAGTATGACGACATTCATTTTGTTTTAAGTCTGCATTTGTGGTCCATCTATCATGGTTGGATTTGTAGACAGAGGGAGAGTGATTCAGATAATGGGAGTTTTAATGTCATTAATATTCAATAAAATTGTCTTTAAAGTTTAAATAAGGGAGAAGTTTTAACCAGACCATGAATACTTTAAAAGCAGCTTGTGGAATCCAAATTTTATTAACCACTTTGGTTATTTTTGGGATCGCTTTTCAGATTTGGAAAAGGACTTCCACACAGAAGCTGGTTTGTTAAGTAAAGCAGTGAAATTTAACGTCTTTTAACAGACTGGACTGAAGACTGTTCCGACCCTTGTCTACTGTATGTTGTCATGAAGCAAAAAACGTAATACTTTCTCCGTAGAGTCACCTGTGTACCACCTTGCTTTAATCATTTGTCTCCTAATTCAATCTACCTCAGTTTCTACTCAGTACAAATGTCACTATTCATCCACTGAAACGTATTCTAACAGGGCGACTTTTTTTTTGTTTCATTTATAACATCAACTTATTATGGCATTTGACAAACTGTACTAAAGTGTTCTTAGATAAACTGATACTGAAAGGAAACAGATCCACTGTGATGGCGGTTTTAGATCCACAGACTGACAGATTTGATAGTTTTATGTTGGGACAAACCCACTCTCTGCCCTGTCTGAATGTGCATATATTTAGTAAATATCCATTCAGCAGGATACTTACACATTTACTAACAGGTTGACAACTTAGCGATGCATTCTGTAACACCAAAACAAACTTGTCTTGTTCTCTTTGCTTTCTTAATATTGCTTGTTGACATTGTATTTCCATGAAATTATTTCCATGTTTGTGCAATACATAACTTTTCCTTTTGTGAAGTGATACCAATGGGAATGCTCTGCTATAAATGTTTAAGAGATAAGTCATCAGAAGCATAGTGTTGAATGACAGCATATCGGCGTTGTTAGTGTAATTTAACCATTTGTGCGACCACTGGGTGTTTATTAATCACTTAATTTGTGAGTCCTCTTTGTGAGTGTTTATGTTTTTGCATACTGAGCAGTTCAAAAAGAGATTAGACATGAATGTATGTAGTTTTTTTTCCATCTTCTAGTCAGCACCTGGTTAAATAAGACAGGACTTAATGTCCTCAAACTCATCATGTGTCCATCCATCCATTTTCAGATCATATACCCAGTGACAGGGTGTAGAAACCTGTGCCCATGCAAAAAAAGACTTTTCCAACATGACTCATTCTGTTTGCTTTCAAGAAATATCCTCAAAAATTGTGGTGATTGAATGGCCAAGAAATCTCTTGTGAATAAAAATATTTAATGCAAATTCCTCTTTAAGCATTAAGTGAAAGTGACCACAGACTGTAAGAGAAAATCTAAATTGTGTCGTTGCAGTTTGGTGACATAATGTAGCAATAATGAGCGTTCACCTCTGTGCCTTCAGAGGTTTGAACTCATGATGTCCATAGAAGATTTAGTCTGTAACATCCTCAGGGATTTGGCTTCATAACAGTGAAATCATTAAGGTCCACTGGTCTTTCAAACACACATGGGGAGGACAAAGCTGCGGGGGTACTATTGCATTATACTGTATTGTGTTTTTGACTTGTCCACCCCTGTACACAGTCATATGAAGCTCTGAATGTACAAGGCTCAAAGATTTGTGCTCATGTCAGCATGCATCCTTGTTTACCAGATTTATTTTGAGCTAGGAAGCACCTGCTTGTTCCTCCCAGAAAACACGTTAACCCACTCCAGGGAGTTACCACAGTCACGCTCTTGGCTGACCACAGCAGATGGTCATTTTGTTTTCAATAAAATGCATTCAGTATGATGAGAAAATCAGTTTCTGCTCTTTTTTTCAGTTATGACAAGAACAGTTTGACAGAAAATAACATTTACTGACAGCAAAGTACAAAAGAATTGTCACATAAGACACTAGTGGGGACAGAGGGACACATGTACCATTGTGAATGTTATCTGGAATGGTTGCTGAGAAATTACTTCTCTTTACTTCAATGTGTAAACATTATTTTTTAGCACTAGCTAATTATCTCATTTATCCACCAAGTGTAAAACCAACAACACATTGATGACACATTGGACCCTTTGCACTTTAACACCCACAGCTACATTTTCACAATTCATTGAAACTAAGTGGTTCATATTCTTTGGATTTGCAGGTCACATCCTCAGACTTCTCAGTGGAACGAATAAATGAAGAGCCGTGACTTTCAGCTCTCCAATTTCCATTTTTGAGATGACTGATAATGTGTGTGGCTCACATCAGTGACGCCTGGTCAATAAAGGTGGCCAAAGTGATGTCTCGCTGGGAGAGCCCTCCACAGTCATGTGTGCTGAGAGTTATCTGGACCTGTGGCAACAAAGGAGAATGAAGCAGGGGAGTCATCATATGACTAGAAAAGGCTATTTTTATCAAATAACTTTGTGTTGCTTCAGCCAAAAGATCGTGCTTTTAATAGAAAGCCTCTAATCGTAGATCAGCCAACTTAATAATGGCATCAACCACTTTTTTCCTTCCCACTGACTGACACACAGCAAAGCGAAAGAAAGAGAGAAAGGCAAATATCTACCCCTGCAACAAATTTCAGTGATAAAAGTAGTCAATAAAGTTCATGTTTGACAATGCAATAAATGCAGAAAGCAGCATTTGATGTGCAAAGTGTCTTTTGATGTTTTTGTGTTTAAACCGGGAGAGTTCAACAGTAAAAACTGAAATTAGCTGAGGCGTAAGCATGAAAGAGGTTAAAATGTCAACTCAGCTGTAGTTAACAGTAAATGATGAAAGCAGTGTCAACCTGGCATAATTTAAGATGTCTGAAAAAAATGGAAGAATAAGATATGAAGTTAAAGTGTGCCTAGCATCTGAAAAGGTAAACACAATACTGTCATATTGTCACTGTTCAAATCCTAAGTGCAGACCACACAGGTAGGCTAATAGCGTTAGCATTGATTTGGAGTCGTGTTTCTCGCCACATATTGAATGTAAGTCCAGCATTTACTTTCTTTAAGCTCTGTTTCAGTCTCTACCAACTTCTGAGGGAAATATCTTGGCACTTGAGCTGCGAAATGATCCGGTTTGTTCCCCAGCTAGTAGCTAGCTAACTGTGTCTGTTAGCTGTTTGGTGCTAAACAGGTAGCTAGCTACAGTGAGTGTTCAGCTAAAAACTGCTACACTTGAAACGCTGTGTTTAAGCATTTATAAATTAATTTCAATTACTAAGACAGTGCTTTGGCAAAGGGGGCGGAGAAAGAAGTATTAAGATCGTTTACTTAAGTAAAAATTGAAAAGCTACAATGTAAAAGTATTCTGTTATTAGTAAAAGCCCTAAAATCATACTCAATTAAAGCTACAAGCAAGTACTTGCATCAAAATATACTGAAAGTACTCATTACAGCACAAGTACAAATACTCATTATGCAGAATGGCCCATTTCATGTTCATAGATTTTATTACTGGACTACAGTATTGATTCATTAATGTGTTCATTTTAATGTCACAGTTGATAAATTGGGGATGATTAATTTCTATATGACCTGCTGGGTAGCTTAATGTATTATATATATCTATATCTATTTGTCTATATCTACAAAGATAGATATATAATTTAATAGTTGAGTTATATTTTGTATTGATAGTCTGAATCTGCAAAGTAATAACTAAACATTTGTCTACAAAATTTAGTGGAGTATTAGTATAAAGTAGCATAAAATTGAAAGAAATAAGTAATGTACAAACATCTTAATGGTGTCACTGGTCAGAGATGTGTTTTTGTCAGTCTTAAGAAAAATGTTTATGATTTTGCTGATAAATATAGGTATGGTTTTATTGAAGACTCATGAATTTGAATCTTTGTACATGGTCACAGTACTGGGCTCCTCAGGACCAAGTTAAGCAGTGATGTAGCCTATTCACTGATTACTAAAAGTGCAACCACCCTATAGGCTGCAATCTCCTTTACATGAGTCCTGATTAATATTTTATACCTTATTATAGACATTGAACCACTCAGGATGATGGTCCATCTTCTCTGCTTGTAACGCCACTCTGGACATGAAACCAAAAGCCTGAAAGGAAAGAACATCATATTATCTATGTCCATACAGTAGTGGTTGCTATTTATGTGGATTTTGTGAGTTAATTATGATATGTTAGAAACCTGATTAAAGTCTTTAAAAATAAACTCTTTATAGATTGCATCCCGTCCAACAACCTCCACCCACTGAGCGTTGCGTAGCAGGGGGAGTAGGTGGGTCCTCTCCTCCTCAGTTAGACTCTGAATTTTACCAGCCTGGTAGGAAAGAGAGGAGGCAACAGTACAACAGATCAGAGAGGGGCAGTTTCACAAACACAAACTGCGATTGGTTGCACAGGATCCCATCTGGAAACAATGAAAGGCTGCATTCCTGGTTTAAAAAACTAGCTGGTTCAAAGGCATGTGGTGGAAGGGGGTGGTAGTGGTGGGAGGGGGTGGTGCTCCTTTTTGGTAACTCAGTTCCTAATCTTGACACATGATGCAGGGTCACATGGATTTTAAAGTTAATTATACTTGTTTCATCCAGCTTCAGTGACCCTGACTCCAAACTGCACTGTCAACATTTCACAACCCCAAATAGACGTCTGATTTTATTGCACAACCAAGAGGGGACTTTTGAAGGCTTTGAACCCAGATGAGCAGTCATGCTTGTAAACCAAGAGCGCAAACAGATGTCACAATGACCAGTAACAGAGCAATGACATCAACAGGTATCATAGCAACAGTCTAATCTGCTCTGTCAGTGGAGCGAATGGGCAGCACACAGACAATAGCCAGTGGCTTACACCTCATCTATTCATCACGTGTGGCAGCTTAATGCAAACACAAAGACAGGAAATGTGCTTATGTCAGTCTTATCCCTGCAGAATCACACTGGCACTTATGAAACTTAGTATCAAATTTATCTATTTGCAATTGTCAGCCTGCGATAAAACATCATCTAGTGGAGTTTTAGAGTATGAGAGTGAGTAAATGGCAACAGGTGTGTGAAACACCCTGTGTGCAGCCTGGATACACACTGTAGAGAGGTTGTGTACTCACCATGTTTGCAGAGTGTTTTTATACACAGAGGAGGTTCAGCTCCAGCTCCCTGTTGCACAGATCTGCTGTGGCAGCCAGCGAGAGGGACTGGATTGACTTTATCTGACACATGAGCTGGAGGTCCTGCTTGGCTGCCCCTGCAGAAGCCTGAGCAGAAATCCTCACTGCTGATAGGTTACCCAGCCACATGTCATCATGGGTTTAATCATAAACTGTCATCTGTTGCACAAGGCATGTATAAGGCCAGCTATTGTAGCAGGATTCAGTAAACACTGCTGCAATGGCCAGCTGTGTGAGGAAAGGAGGAAGAGGCTGTCCCTCTTATATACACCTTTTAATAATCTATGTACATTGTGTATGCTCACGTATTAAGCATGAACTTAAACTTCAGAATAATAGCACACTATTAATGATGTCTCTGTTCATTACGACAGCAGTTTTTATAGCAAGTGCTACTCTTCAGCTGGCTGGAGTTCATGTCAAAGGTTAATGAGATGTTCCTTGATATTGCCCTGGTGAACTCATCTGTCACGGCGAGCGCTCAGGGAAATGAACTGGTTAATGAAATGAGGAGAAGGAGAGGATGTGACAAGTGATGAGCATTTAACAGTTGGCTGAGTGGGGAAATGAGAATGTGTTTCGGTGTTTTTGTTAGAAAGCTGCAATTTAGAGCAAAACCATTAGATTGGAGTCAAATGGTTGTGTAAATTGTGTTTGGAAATTTAGCGTGTCCCTCTGACTTCTACACTGATACATACACTTAACTCATGTAAGCTTTTAAACTGGCAAAGTGTATGTTTTCTTCATTAAGTCTCATTTTATTCGTCTTCTATCTCTGCAACAAAATTGCAAACAAGTTTTGCCCTATATCTGATTCCAAACATACGCATCACATACCAGTTTAAAGATACCACCAACCACGCATGCTTACTGCCCTTTGACCACTTTTTATATTGGTGTGAGTGTTATAAAGATGAGCAGTGGAAGAAGTGTTTTCAAGTGGCAACATGGAGCCCAGGAGACTGCTACAAGCTAGTCTAGCTTTGTTAATCCTTGTAACCAGCAGCTATGGAGGACACTTAAACCCAGGTGAGTCTTCTAGGATTCATTCTGGTGTTCAGTGTGAAGCAGTCAAAAGTTTTCCTGTTGTGTCCATTCGACACAGGAGCAGTCACTTAATGTCAACACCAAAAAAATAACAGTTTTCTTTTTAGCTTCTTGTGACAATCAATGTTTGGTCTTCATAATCAAGGTTAACATTCAATTATGACAAATTGAGCTGTCAGTAATATGAGAACACTCAGTCAATAGTATTGAGCTGTGTTATGATCTTGTTAATGTTAGTGATCTGATACACCCCTCTACTATCGTATATTTATGATGTACAAAAAGCATTGTGTGCACCATAAATCAGTGTTGCTTTGAATCTATGTAGGGCTGACACTGAGAATGGACCAGGCTTTGTTAACATTTCATAACAAGCTGACAGAAGAAGTGCAGGTCCTCTACACGTCAGATTACTGCTACAAGGTAAAGAATATATACTGTCACTCTGTTTGTCTCTTCCCTTTGTCTGTCTGTCTCGGTTGTCCAAGATGTCAATGTCAGCAAAATTACTTAAGTTTTCTATTTGTCACATTTGAGTGGTTCATAATGATGCACACATAACAAGTCAGCAATTTTAAGCAAGTGCCTATTTTGACATTCTTGTTTCTTACCCAGATCTTTCTAGAAAGGTTAAAGGTTACTCCAGTGATTTAGCAGTGGATCCTTCTGAAATTGGGCTCACATGAGAAAGATTCCTTTAAAAAAAAGTTCAAAATCTGTTACACCCTGACATGTAGTACTTAGTGTGAGTCAAGCTTCAAAAACACTGGATCCTACATTTTTCATAAACAGGGTTCCAGCAGATGTTAAATAGCCTAGTCTAGTCTAGTTAAATGCATGACATCTATTAATCTCAAAATATGACCCTGACTGTTAATGAAATGTCTTAAATCAATCTGTCAAAAGTCTTAAAAATGTTACGACACGGGAAGTAGGATGTTGTAGGAAAGAGGATTGTTGTTCTGATGTTGCAATCTTAAAATAACTGGAACAATTTATCAAATCCCTCTCTCATAACATCAAGCAGAACAGGATAACCAAACCAACAACCCTCAAATTTTATTCTGGTCAGGATTTTCAGAGCAGATGATCCACTGGCTGCTGGCTAGCTGTCACTGTACCCCGGATGACATGGGAAATTGTAAATTCGATTAAATTTAGCTATTTGACTAAGAACTTCAAGGCATGGCTGAAACCAGTAGAAGGTAATGCCCATGAGGCTTGATGTCTTTTATGCAAAAGGTTATTCAAACTTGACTCGATGGGAATCAAGGTAGTAGAATCTCACATGCAGAGTTAGGAACAACTTTACCAGGAAACCCGCCAACAAATAGGTATTGCCTACTTCTCTTCTACTCTCATCTCTGCCACAAGACGAAAAAGTAATTTTTTTGTTAGAATAAACATTTGAGCAAAATTTTCACAAACCATAAATAACTGTTGTTTTTTCTTAATTTTTCTTTCTCCACTTTTAGTTATTGTAAAATTGTTCCTAAATTCGTTCTTCGAGCTGTGTCAGAACATTGTGTGAGGGTTGGGGTTTGAGGGGGTTAAACAAAATAGGATGGAAATGACAATGGTGGCCCGTTTGTCAATTTGTGTTGCCATGGGCATTTCTATCAGCTTTGCAGCATATTCAATGCATTCAGTGGGTTGTTTGAGCATCATTAGGTTCTTTGAATGTATTGTGACAACATACAGCAATGGGTTGAAATAAAAACAAAAAAAAGGTACCTTCAGTACTTTAGTATTTTTAGAAGCAAGTACTCAAGGACTTCAACTCAAGAAATGATATGACTCAGCAACTTTTACTTCTATTGGAGTAATGTTTGACCAGGAGAAACTATACTTTGACTGTAACAAAGCTGTGAACTTTGTCTGTCACTACCTACCACTGAACCTAATACTGTCTCTTTATAGTTGCATTTGCCTGTTGGCGAAATGTAGATTAACTCACTCTAATAACCATATTCCTACATAAAATGGGACCATATATATATTCTACTAAACATTATACTTACCTTCAATGCTTGAAAAAATCAGTTTTGATCTTGAAAAGGTTGTAAAAAGCATTAACTTTAACTGTCTGACAGCTGTAGAAACCCTGTTTGTTCCTAGGACTTATGTGCATTTTCCTTTTTACATATTTTTGTCTTCATTTTTTCCTTTTATTTCTATTTTCTAATCCTGAGGAGCACACCACGTTGCATTTCACCATACATATTTGTGTATCTGACAAATAAACCTTGAGTCCTTGAATCCTTATACCTTTAATCATCATGACCCCACCAGATTTGTCTTGAGACCCCTCTGATTGTAAAGTACTTTAGTGTTGTCCCTGTTTTTACTTCTCAGTGTGTGTACCAGCATTTGCTCACTGTGAAACCCAACAACAACAATGCATCTGCAGTGGTCAGCACTAAATTCACTCTGACTCTGCAAGTGGAGTCCCAGACCAGGAATGAAAGTCTTTGCAGGTAACAAGTTTACCATTCTAACAAAGCATCAATTACATTAAACCACCTACAATCCAAAGAAGTAAAAATGCTGATTTGTTTCCTGTTTACTCGTATTAACTGCCTGTGGGAGTGTATAGCTCCTCTTTGCAGCCATGATATAGTGTGGTGGCATCCAATGATTACATCAGCAGTCTGCGAGATTATTTACAGTGCTCTGGGAGTAGGCCTGACCTGCTTTCTGGACCTGACTGATGCCCTCCCTTAAACTACCTCCCCTGGTATCGATCAGGAGCCTTTTTGGGGTTAATAAGACCTGACATTCCAATATTGATGAAAGGGCTCATTAAAGCTTCAAAGCTGCTCGTCCTGTGGAAGCCTCAGTGGGGATGTTAACTGGAGATGACAGTCTGCATATTTATAAACAATCAGGACTGACAAGACACCAGGGCAGAGTTTTCCATCTGGGGGTCACCTGTAAACATGGTGCCAGAGATTCAGTTACAACATGACAAGCCTCTGATGCTTTTCTTGCTCTCTCAAAGGTCTGGCCCTGGGCTTCCTAGATCAATGCTGAGGTCTCTAACCAGACTATTGATTTCCTTTTCCCCTTTGAAAAAACACTCCAAGTGATAGCTAGTATGTCATCCCAACAGTGGATCAATATGAGCATGTAATGCATGTTTTTGGGGCCTGAAACTGGAGATGACGAGAGGGCAGAGGGATGCACTTTTAGTCTGAGGACACTAGGTGGTGCTCCTGAGCTTCAAAGGTGTAAAACCAACAGAGGGAGCTAAGTAGACCATTTTTTATAGTCAGGTGAAGAGTAAAACAGCAGCAAGTGGATGAAAAAAGTAATTTAATACATGCTTTTAAGGAAGTATAATTCCAAACAGAATCAAATAAAAACAAGCAGTATTTCTATTTGCTTTTAGTGTAAGTGTGTGTCAATATTTCACTGTTTTGGATGCAGGTGGAGTCAGACATATGGAGAAGGTGGTCATTACTCTGTTTGGATCCAGATGTCCGAGGCCGCCAGCTGCACTGAGGCTGTGGATAAAAGACCAAACAATGCATACTTGCGTAAGTGCACAACACTGATGAAGGATGCGGGATGATGACATTCAGTAATCAGCTGCACAGTTTTGAATAACGGACTGAGAGTGAAACGTGATTGCTTTGGTGAGACCCAGTGACAGTAAAGGGACCTGTGTCCATGCTCAGGCCAAGCCTTTGATCCACTCTTTACTTAATTGAGTCAGCAAAGAGGAGAATCACTCGGCTCGTCCACATCTACTGAACAGTAATACTCACCCGTCTCCTGGGACATGATGTGTATTGATCAGATAAGACATGCCTTCTTGAAAAGGGATAAAAGAAAAGCTTTTCTGTTTGTTTCGAAGGCCTGGCTCCATGCGTGGAGGATTGTGGGTAATACATTAGGGAGTGTGGAAGGATTAGGGCGTAATGGGATTTTGAAAGCGTCTCTCTCCATAATGTACACTCTACTTAACAATATTGCAGATTATGTTGTAGATCAGACTTTTAAGGCCAAGTAGCCATTATCCAAGCAGATATATGGTCAGTGTGACGGCACCCCTCACAGTATGATGAGCTTCCATTAGCTTCGCAGACCTGTGATTATACAAACTCCCCATAGGACTTGCTCAGCTTAAGTAATGGTCTGGTCAGCAGCTCAAGACAGGTTAGAGTTGCCCTGCTAGGACATTTCAAAGTTTACTTCAGCGTCTCAGATTGATTAGCTGCATGGCTTCATGAGGTCATTTGATGGGTGCGGTATTCTTCAAGGATATGTTTCTGTGCAGCTGCAATCAGATCCACCCTTTAATCATATTAGTACTGTATTCTGCATTGTACCACAAACCACAGGTCACCTGCTGAGGCCTTAGTTCTCACAAAGAAATCCAGAATATCGACTGCTTTCAAGTATTTGTTCGACTTCAGCTGTCTCATCGATGAACTGAACTTAATCTAGCTGTTTTGTGTCCATCACTTTCTATTTGTTGTGACAATAACTAATAGAGGGAGCGTGGTTGTTGCAGAGATCAAGTGTTGTTTCACTTCATGTGCTGAGAGCTTTATGGTGCTTTTATGAGTGGACAGCAGAGATGCCATGACTTTTCCAGCGCGATTAAGTGACCACTCTTTGTTCAGAGTAGATGTCATAGTGTGGATTTAAGCTCAGTTTAAATGGCTTCTTTTTGTTTGTTTTTCCACTGAAGACAAACATGGCGCGTACTGCCCCCTTATTTCCTGTGCTTTGACGCAAGAAGGCCATAGTGATATCTCCTGAGCCTATGTGTTATAGTTTTATAATCAGCAGCACAGCTGTAAAATGTCTCACTGTTCTTTCAATGCTGCTGGTGCTTATGGGTGAACAATAGTGTAGCAAACTTGCATTTTTGTTTGCATAAAAGAAGATAAAATTGGACTATGAGGTGTTTGGCATCATTTTCATTGCACTAATGCCTCTGGGAACATTTTTGTCGCCATTATGCAGTGATCATGTAACATAGGCTTTGTGGTTCCTTAAACACTGAATCCTTAAGCTTTTCCCTATACCTTTTTTTATGATCTGTGTAGATTTCATTATTTATTTAGCAGGTAAAAGGCACCTCAGCTGCAGCATTTGTGCCCTCTCGCACTGTAAACCTCATCTTGACCTCGTCCCCATCTATGATGCCCCTTGGCAGCACAGCTCTTCCCTTCTTTGTTTTCTTCTCCTCGTTCCAGTGTAGCCTTACATTTTCCTTTTGGTACGCCTGCAGGGTTAGATTACCCAGATGGATCGACCAAGAGTTTTCCATTAGGTCCTTGTTTGTCACTTGAGGGATCCCCTTTGACACTGGTTGACTGACAGACAGCCACAAGGGAGTCCAGAGGCGAGTAAAGCAGACAGTTTGGACTGGTAATCTGGCCCTTTATCCCCAGTCAGATCCCATTCGGATAGAGATGTAGAATATAAAGCTCCTGACATGGCCATTTCCATTTGTAAACGTTTCCTTTTTTTTTTTTTTTTTTTTTATTTTGCAGCTCTTCTGGTGGCAGCTCTTTCACTGGCCGTAATCGCTCTCTTATTCGTTGTGGCACCCTACATCTACAGGTACATTTATGTTTTTTACATCATCCACAATGAAAATACCATTCTGCACTGATTACTTCTCCATAAGAACCAGGCAGCTCAGACTTGTTGTCCCACTTACAGGAGGCGTTGTACATCAAAATTTATGAAGACCATTTGCTGCCAAAGCCCAGAGTACCCAATGGATAATGTAAGTAAATTGCTGCTTCCAATGAATGCATTAGATTATTAATATTTTAATAAGTGCAATGAGATGACACAGATGAGTGATTTGATTGATTAGATTTAGATCAATCATAAAGCAATAAAATATTTTCCATCAAATGAATTCTCATCAGTATCATCTGCACAGTTTTGAGATACTAAACATCTCATTATGTTCAAAATTAACCATTAAAACTATAGTTTTGTTTGTGGACAATGTGCATATGAGAAAACATATAGAAACCTTTTCCAAATATTTGTATATCCCTTCTTGGTCCCCTAACTCCTGGATTTTTCTAGAATTTAAGGTGTCCAGAGGAGCACTATACCAAATGACTGTGCCACCTCTATTTCTTCACTGCAGAAAATAATTAACTTTCTTTGTAATCAAACATCAAAGTTGCCTTAATCCAACAGTAACATTGCGTCATTTTTATTGGCTAACCACGCAGCCTGAGATGCATACCAAAATTGCTCCGAGACTCCAGTCATCAAGACATTTGGGAGACACTAATGGAATGATTGATACAAATGTTAGCAGAGCCAATTGTACAGCAGACTTACATGGGAGTGATAGAGCGTCGTATCCGTCCAATCATCTTGCTTGATGGCAAGAGCTGCTGTGTAATTTTGGTGAGCATGAATGGCTCCTCTCATTCTTCCAAGCAAGATGTCTCTGTCTTCCATATGCTGCCTGGATGGCATGCAGATCCATCATAACATATTAGTGTTGGTGTCTTCCTGCTCTGGCTCTTTAAACTGCTGCATGGAGGCCAGTGAGTCAGGCTAATCCAACTGAGAGGGCAACAGGCCAGAGTCATCTCAATGCTGCCATCACAGAGATAGGGGAAAAAGAGGCGCCAACACGCAGCGCAGAGCATGACCCAGGATAGAAAGATGGCCAACATCATTTTGAGGAGTTCTGACCCATGTGGCAATTTGGATTTTCAGTTTTGTCAACATTTTTACATCTCGGAACAATTATATATTACGTAAAATCTTCAAATAAGTTTGAATGTAGTGTATATTTTTTGTGGTTGTTTTAAGTATATTACAGTTATGTATTCATAAATGTGCTTCTGTTTTCAGCCTCTCAACTTTTTTGCCTCCACTCTGCTGATAGCCATGGCCGGAGGCATAATGTTTTTGGGTTGTCCATCTGTCCTATTCTCATGAACATGATATCTCAGGAACGCCTTGAGGGAATTTCTTCCAATTTGGCACAGACTCAATGATGAACTGATTAAAATTTGGCTTTCAAAGGTCAAAGGCCATAACTCAAGAATTCACATACTAATTATGACAAAATTACACAAATGTTTAGTAGGACATAATGATTAAGTGATGAGATTTTATATCCAAACAGTCAAAGGTCAACGTCACTGTGACATTATAATGCTCTACAAAAACAAAGCTCTGACCATTATTCAACACCATATCTCAGGAACAGAAGGGGGGACATTTTTTCAGATACTAAGCTGGTGACACTAATCTTGGGTGTCCACCTTGAAACTGTGATCATTGTGTAGCTCTTCTCTGCTGCCGGTTGAAGATGTGTGTGAAGCATTCACGTTTTAGAATATGTAGCTTCTTTGAAGAAATATCCATGTTTGAAGCATTGTCAGCTGTCATGGCTATATGTGAGTCTGAACAGACATGGATGTAATAATAGTTAAAGTCTAAAAGTGAAAGCTGATGGTGCACAAAGTAATGTAACCATCTCTAGAGAGACAACTTTTATTATAATGTAATCATAATTAATCACTGCTACAGAAGAGGGTCATTTTGAACTTAATGCGAATTAGCAGAACTTGTCAGCTATTAGAAAAAGGTCTGGTCATCATCAGCACTTTGATATGTAAGCATTCAAAGCAACATGAGAAAACGAAGGAGGCCTCTAAGAAACAAAAAAAAGCAAAATTATAAACACTACAGGCTGTTTTAGTGTCTTTCAGCACATTGTTATGGTGTTACTGTTTTGGTTTAGCATTCTGTTCTCACCATGAGTTTGGCCAGCAGGGAGCAGTTTTGAGCAAAAGCTTTAATAAATCCACTGCACACTACCTACCCACCACCAAACTTCAGACAGACAAAGTTAGCTGCTAGCTAGTGAACATACAGCTGCATGTAGAAGCCAAATATCTTTCTCAGGTGTTGGTGGAGACCATACACTGTATAATAAAGATGGACGGCATAACAATTTCACAAAAGTGAAGCCATAACATACTGACCGCCCCCTGGTGGCTGGCTGCAGTATAGTTTATAATCTCCGCCACCTCCTTAGTGGACGGGACATGGGCCAAAATAAAAAATCAGAGTACATGTCAAATCAATTTTTCCTTTCTGTCATTTTATCATGCTGATGTATATTTAAATGTTTTTGTTTTTTGTTGTTGTGTTTTTTTATAGGCTAAGTTTGGTTTTAATTGAGTCAAGTACTGTGCTCACTCGCAATTGAATTGAGCCAATGGTGCTGAGTCAGGCAGGAGCATGGGCAGGACCTTGAAAATCGTGGCTCCACCACCCAATCACTACTGCACAGACTCCAAATGACGGACCACCACAAGATGGCTGCGCAAGAATCTGTGATATTTTGGCTACATTTTTGTATAGTGGGAGGAAGTGGAGACGCATTGTCCATCTTTAGATATAGTCTATGGTGGGGACCAAAACAGAGCTTAACGGGGACTGAATATTAGACTTACATTCATCAGGTTAACAGAAACGTGACTCCAAATGAATATGATTGTTGCTCCATGCCTGCTTATATCAACTTTATTAGGCGATAGATTTTGAATGTTTATACTTTGTTCCCCTGCCCCCAAGAGGCCAGAAAATCCGATGATATTGCTTCAATGCATTAAGCTAAATTGTTTTGAAAACTCTAACACATGCAAACATGGATTGACTGCAACAAGAAAAAGAAATAGCAGTCGCAAGTCAAAACAACAGGGATTCAACATATACATCGATAGTCATAGTAACAACTGTTGATAATTTTCATACACCTTTGTGTGAGCCAAACTGTTTAGTTACTTAAATTCAGAGTTCTGACATTATTTTCTCTACCCCTTAATTGTTTCTACAGGACAGCGCACAGGCTTGTGAAGCTGAGCACAATACCGCTAAAGCTAAACCAACACGTCTGCGCTCACTGGACACTTTCCGAGGGTATGTACACCATCAACAACCATCCTGTTTATCAGTCTATCACCACATGCAGTTCGTTCACATGCTAATTCTCTTTAGAGCAGTCTAAGGCATGATGAAGATCTACAGGCCCAACATAATGAATAATTACAGGGGTCACAGTCTGGCCACATGCTCCCCCAAGCTTTTGTTATCAGGCGGTATAGCTTTGGGCATGATTTCTGATATCAGTGCGTCTCGGGTTTGGAACAGTGTGTTTCTGTTGGACAGGAGTGATGCATGTGATTGAATCTGGGCTCCCTGCTAGCCTTAATTGTGGCCTGGGGGTAGACACAAAGCACGCCTCTCTGGAAACAGGATGCTGGTGTGGCTTTGACCTCCCCCTTGCCAAATAATTGATGTAATAATACCGTCAACATATCAGCACACATCCACACAGCCATAGATCTCCTGCCAAAATGGAGAGCGAGAGGAAATCCAGCAGCACAGAGGCAGCATCCAGCAGACAATTGGCATCTTCTCGTCTGTGGCTTCCTTTTGGATGAAGAACCTTCAGAAACCACTGTGCATATGTGCTCAATTCAAAATACCACATACTGTTATTTAGTTTGGGAGCTGAATCAGTTGAGTACACTTAGACTAGACTTCGCAAAGGTTCAAGGAAAGGCTACATTTCGATTTCTTTTCCCTTTCTGTTCTGCCTGCCTGTTCAATCCTATTAGCCAAAATGTCACTCTGGGGTTACAGATACTTGTCACATATTGATGTCCTGATAGGTAATACTGGAAATTTTCATACCTGACAACACACTTAATCAAACTGTGACTCAGCGCTCAAGATTAACGCTGCGTGTGCCTCCTCAGCCCTGTGACTTATGATCCGTACTCCCTGACAAACAACTTTCTACAGAGAACAGACACATCATCCACCATAAATGCTGAGACATTTCTGAAGGCAAAAGCCTTTTCTTCTGAGCTGAAAGGTTTTTCTGATCATTGCTCAGACTCCACTGACATGATATACAGAGACCAGTGGGGTACGGTTGCACGTTAATTTTTCTAAAAGGATTTGGATTTTAATCTTGTGCCGCATTGCTAAAAGCCTGTCGCCGGTCCCTGTACTGTTGAAAATCGCACCGTCAGTAGTTAGCAGTGCCATACAACAGAGGGAACAACTATTACTGCAATACAGTGGATTGTCAGTCACATTTAACACCAGGTGGCTGACTCATTCTGTGCCTTATTTTGACTAAGCTCCAAGTTTTCCTCTGATTCAGTTTCAGATATGCTCTGATGTCTGGCCACAAGAAGAAAAGAACCTTGGCATTTTCACTGAAGTAGTAATTTATTATGACTAGATTGGATGTCTGTGTATTTGATATGGCCTGCACAGTTGGTAACTCAATAGTCTGCAGTGATAGAGTGTAACTATCCATTTGCAACGGGGAAATGTACTAAGCTAACACTCTAATTGGTAATGCATGTACAGTGATTCAAATCAAAGAAGTCCATAAGCGTCTGTCAGCAAGTCGTAACCAGTTGTCACTGCTGCATGACAGACATGTCTTTGTGTAATTAGTTGGCTATAAATCATAAATACTGATTCCCAGATGTGAATTAAGTCTATTACTGAAGTGACAAATGCCCATTGGAGAGCTTCACAGGGATATTTACAACTTCAACCTGATTAGCAACTAGCCTGTGGTGTTTCAGCCTGGACATTATCTTGTATTAACATTGGTGCAACATAAAACAAAGTCATCTCAGCACACATCCTATTAATTAGGCACTTACAGTCTCCCTTAATCATAATTAGCAGACAGTGTTGTCACTTGTGTATGGCATTAGTAGTCTGCCTAAAATGGAGCTCCTGTTCACCCAGAGTGTTTTGATTAAAAAGATGGCCAATAAGCCTGCCCTGATATTGCAGAGATTTTCACCAGGTCTCATCTGGTCAGTGATTTAACCTCCGTCTTTGTCACTATGGCGACTAATGGATATGTTCGTCAAAATTTAAATGATAGCCTGCATGCATATGTGTGTGTGCGTGAGAGAGAGAAAGAGTACATGGACACATGCAGCAGGGTTTACTCTAATAGCCCTTTTGAGATGATAGTGGCCGATTAAAATCTTGTATCAGCAGGTTGGGGCTAAAAGAGCAGTAATGGCTTTGGTGCACCTCTTAATTGAATCTAAGTAGAAAAACAAGAGGAGGCAGAGGTAGATACAGTGCATCTTATCAAAGAGTCTTGTTCTTAGAGGTTGTCCTAATGCTGTTATGGCTCTTAAAGACCCCCTGATGATATATATATTTCTTTTGATTAAATAAAGCGTGAATTAAAAGCATAAATTCATGTATTTAGGATGGCAAGAGGATTGAATTTGCCCCAGAGCAAAACGCTGTAGCCGCTTGACCATGCAACCATTTACATTCCCCTGCAAGTTTGTGTTGTGTAATGGCCCACACCCATTTTCTGACATGCAACACAAACACCTCTTTTCCCTCCAGTGTTGGATTCAGTGAAGCACTCTATCACGTGTGCTGTGTTTCAGCAGCCTTGGCCGGTGCTGAAGTATAAAGTGTATCATATATTAGACGCAAAGTCTTTAGTCAGCACTACTGCTGAGGAGATCCAGAGGACAAGTGTTCATTTCCTGAGTGATTCATAATGCTTAGATTGCATTACCTTGCATTTGGAGTGTGACAGAAAAAAAGCCCCTCCTCTGCCCTCTTTAACTTTAATTCAAAACTTAATATTGTATCAGATGGATTAGTTAGATGGTAAGAAAATACTTAGATATCTTTTTTTCTGTTTTATTTATCTATTTTTTAAATGTATTTATAATTGCTTTATAACAGTTGTAACCTATATTTCCACCATTCATTCTACTGCATGAAGGTTAATCCAATTATCACTGATTTCCTAAACTGTGTGCTACAGTGTGTGCTCATTGTACTGTCTTTGTAGGTTTGCCCTGACAGTGATGGTGTTTGTGAACTATGGAGGAGGAGGGTACTGGTTCTTTCAGCATGCACCATGGAATGGTATAGTATAGTGGTATGGTGTAAGACGTGCAGAGAAATACAAAATATAATAAAAATAAGAGCTTCACAACTGCTTATGCAGTACAACTACAACAATAGGAATTTGAAATGCCACTTTAATTGTGTTTCCCCTCATTTAGAAGTAGATTTAATATCTGAAAGAACCAACAGCTCACATTGGTCAGTCTGTTTCATGAAAGGAGCCGATACTTCTAATATTAAAGGAATAGTTTGGATTTTTTTGAAGTGGAGTTATATGAGGTGCTTATACATAGTCAGTGTATTACCTATAGTAGATGGCAGTCGGCACTCCCCCAGTTTAAAGAAGCAGGCAGGAATACTGGGTCACAGAAGCTAACTGATGTGCTGTGAACGGGGGCAGCAGCAAAACATATATTTGACACCTAAAAAAGGCCCACCTAAAAACATAACAGTTTAAAGCTACTGTTGGTAACTTATATAAAAAGTAACTTTTTTTTATATTCGCTGAAACTGTCACTATATCCACACAACGCTAAATAAGACAAATAATCTGTGAAAAAAAATCATACTCTTTTACCTACTCTATTGTCTTGTAGCATTTCTAATGGCTTGACTGCATGTGAACGAATAACAACCAATCAGAGCTGAGGAGTCTCTAAAGCAGTTGTCAGTCATGTCAGTCATGGCCTGTGAACTGCGGTCAAACCATAGACTGTGTATAAAAAAGGATGACGCGTCTCAACTCACCCCCACTGTACAGAAGGGAAGCTAAAATATCCCGTATATAGCTGCTTCCATCTTGCTCTGGTGACGTCGATTGCAGCCAGAGTCTGCGAAGTAGCTTTCTCCGTCCAACCAATTGTGAGCATCACCACTGAATGCAAGTCCACAGATTGGCTCACACAGTTGTCGATAATATCAATCATTGAACATACAGCAGTGTCATAAGAATTACCTTAAATGACAGAAGCCATCTTTGGGAAAAATGTGTACTGTGAGTTTTTGGTTTGGCCTATGTTCCATCCACTAACATGGAGAGGGTGGGCTTTAGTTATTTATTTTTTTCAGCCACCAGGGGTGATCGAGATGTTTCGGCTTCACTTTTGGGGAGCTGCTATGGGGCAAATTGTTCAAATAGGCAGTGCTGATCAAATATGAACCAAGATTCTGTGACTACATCACCCATTTCTGGTCTCAAATGTTTTCAGAAACATATTTTAGTGCACTGTTTAGCTGTAAAATGAGAAAGTTTGTGACCTGGCCGCCATGTTGGATACAGTTAAAAGGAAGTACCAAGCACATTCTCATTTTACAGCTAAACAGTACACTAAAATAGGTTTCTGAAAACATTTGAGGCAAGAAATAGTCAAAACATTTATGAAATCTTGATTCATATTTGATCAGTTCTGCCTAATATGACAGTTTGACCGCAGTTCATAGAGTGATTGACATGACTGACAGCTGTGTTAGAGACTCCTCAACTGCGTTAGAGACTACTTGGCTCTGATTGGTTGTACAGCCCGATTCTGGCAAATGCCATTAGAGGCAATAGGAAGAGAAGGAGGGATACAATTTTTCCACAGACCATCTGTCTCATGTACTTCTTTCCGAATATAGTGACAGTTTCAGCAAATATGACACAAAGTTATTTTCATAAACATTACCAACTGTAGCTTTATGTGTATACTGTATTTAAAATATTTTCACTGCTTTACCTTAGTGCTCTTCCTGGGAACCAAAGCCATTATATCGCTTTCTTCAAAGCCATCCGACTCTACCAATAATTTAAAACTTGCAGTATATAGGAGTTGATGTTCTACTGTCTTCTCAATGGGTTAGTTTGTTTGTGTTATTGTGTGACTTTGGACATTGATTTTAGAGATTAGTCTTTTTTATGTAGCTAAAACACGTTTCGTTGTTGCCCCCCGTCCATAGCAGTGCATTACTAAGCTTCTGTGGGTGTGCCGACCTCCATCTACTGTAGGTTATTCACTGTCTACGGATATGTACAGTACAGGCCAAAAGTTTGGACACACCTTCTCATTCAATGCGTTTTCTTTATTTTCATGACTATTTACATTGTAGATTCTCACTGAAGGCATCAAAACTATGAATGAACACATGTGGAGTTATGTACTTAACAAAAAAAGGTGAAATAACTGAAAACATGTTTTATATTCTAGTTTCTTCAAAATAGCCACCCTTTGCTCTGATTACTGCTTTGCACACTCTTGGCATTCTCTCCATGAGCTTCAAGAGGTAGTCACCTGAAATGGTTTCCACTTCACAGGTGTGCCTTATCAGGGTTAATTAGTGGAATTTCTTGCTTTATCAATGGGGTTGGGACCATCAGTTGTGTTGTGCAGAAGTCAGGTTAATACACAGCCGACAGCCCTATTGGACAACTGTTAAAATTCATATTATGGCAAGAACCAATCAGCTAACTAAAGAAAAACGAGTGGCCATCATTACTTTAAGAAATGAAGGTCAGTCAGTCCGGAAAATTGCAAAAACTTTAAATGTGTCCCCAAGTGGAGTCGCAAAAACCATCAAGCGCTACAACGAAACTGGCACACATGAGGACCGACCCAGGAAAGGAAGACCAAGAGTCACCTCTGCTTCTGAGGATAAGTTCATCCGAGTCACCAGCCTCAGAAATCGCAAGTTAACAGCAGCTCAGATCAGAGACCAGATGAATGCCACACAGAGTTCTAGCAGCAGACCCATCTCTAGAACAACTGTTAAGAGGAGACTGCGCCAATCAGGCCTTCATGGTCAAATAGCTGCTAGGAAACCACTGCTAAGGAGAGGCAACAAGCAGAAGAGATTTGTTTGGGCCAAGAAACACAAGGAATGGACATTAGACCAGTGGAAATCTGTGCTTTGGTCTGATGAGTCCAAATTTGAGATCTTTGGTTCCAACCGCCGTGTCTTTGTGAGACGCAGAAAAGGTGAACGGATGGATTCCACATGCCTGGTTCCCACTGTGAAGCATGGAGGAGGAGGTGTGATGGTGTGGGGGTGTTTTGCTGGTGACACTGTTGGGGATTTATTCAAAATTGAAGGCACACTGAACCAGCATGGCTACCACAGCATCCTGCAGCGACATGCCATCCCATCCGGTTTGCGTTTAGTTGGACGATCATTTATTTTTCAACAGGACAATGACCCCAAACACACCTCCAGGCTGTGTAAGGGCTATTTGACCAAGAAGGAGAGTGATGGAGTGCTGCGGCAGATGACCTGGCCTCCACAGTCACCGGACCTGAACCCAATCGAGATGGTTTGGGGTGAGCTGGACCGCAGAGTGAAGGCAAAGGGGCCAACAAGTGCTAAACACCTCTGGGAACTCCTTCAAGACTGTTGGAAAACCATTTCAGGTGACTACCTCTTGAAGCTCATGGAGAGAATGCCAAGAGTGTGCAAAGCAGTAATCAGAGCAAAGGGTGGCTATTTTGAAGAAACTAGAATATAAAACATGTTTTCAGTTATTTCACCTTTTTTTGTTAAGTACATAACTCCACATGTGTTCATTCATAGTTTTGATGCCTTCAGTGAGAATCTACAATGTAAATAGTCATGAAAATAAAGAAAACACACTGAATGAGAAGGTGTGTCCAAACTTTTGGCCTGTATTGTACCTCAAAAATATGAACTGTCCCTTTAATGCACGCCTTCTTTCACATTAAGCCAGATATAAAATGAATGTGTGAACTCAAGGTGATTATTCAATGGAAGTATTCTCGTCATCATGTCTGCAGCATCTTCTGACCTGTTGTCACTAATTATGATAAATGCGTTCTCAAACCAAACACACAGGATGCCATTCCTCATACGAGCCAAATCAAAGGCACGATCCATAGATTTTTATTGTTATTAACAACCAGGGAGGAGATGAGAAGGAGGAGGGATGATTGTTTTAAAAGGCAGCTAGGAGAATATGGGCAGAAGCAGTGAATGAGTAGTTTTTCACCTCCAAGGCACCTCTGACTCAAAGAGACCGTGGTTGTTGAAAGGTTAAAGCCCCTTTTTTCCTGCAGTAAATTAAAGTTGAAAAAAAAAGCAAAACTGTCACTGTAACTTTTATGAAATCCATGTCACTGTTTAGGGGTGTTCTCAATTTAAATCTTATAATAGCCTCTTTGCCATATCTACAAGGGTGTATTGATTTCAGGGGTGCTTTGATTAATCTTCTCTTTGCTGCTGTCACAAGAGTGTAGATATTTATTCGGCTTTCAAAATGGAAAGTTAATGACTAAAACAGCACTTTAAGGATATGACATTGTTCCTAATTCACCTTATAGTCCTTTTGGATTGCATAGATTAGAAAAGGACAAGAATTGTGCACTTTGTAAAATGGCATCAAATTCTGTGAGTCTATTGATATTAATCTGTGTCTCTGGATGTGTTGCAGGTCTAACTGTGGCAGATCTTGTCATGCCATGGTAGGTTTAGTGTAAGAGCACTGTCTGTACAGATATTGGTATGCACATGTAGGTGTTTTAACAGCGTCGTACTGTTTTTTATACCAGGTTTGTGTTTATTATTGGGACTTCAGTGGTGTTGGCTTTCAGATCCATGCAGAGGAAAGGAGTTAGCCGCCTGCAGCTGCTGCGCAAAATCTCCTGGAGAACAGTCGTCCTCCTGATGCTCGGCTTCTGCTTCCTCAACTACTCTCCAAGAGACGGACCATGTAGGTGCAAAATGTGTAGCGCATTGTTGTTATCAGAACAAATACATTACATGTGGATGAGTTTGTTCTGTACTTTTTGTTTGTTCTATATATATGTATTTTTTTCCCTTGTGTTAATGGACCTGCTCATCTGAAAAATGAAGCTCAGTACAGCAAACTGTTATATTATGTAACATCAAACAGTTTTGACACAGATTCTGTAGACAGGTACTCTATAACAGGATTAATTCCATATTATTTCATATAGACCTGCAACGATTCATCAATGAATCAAATAGTTAATCAACAGTGACTTAAATGTTTTCAAATGTGAGAATTTGCCACTTTTTTTTTCCTAGCATTATAGTAAATCGAATATCTTTGGGTTTTTACTGCTGGTGGAACAAAACAATACATATTAACATTACAGTAGCTTTGGTTCTAGGATTTTTCCTGTGCATTTTCCATTGTTTTTTAGACCAAATGAATATTCTATGAATCGAAAAAAACATCAACAGAATGACTGATTATGAAAATGATAACTAGCTACAACCCTTTAAGGTTTATGTTTGGTATGGTTGTAATATGCGCACTATTAAAAGCCTTGTTTTCACACAATTGCAGTCAGTCAGGTGACAAAGACACAGATGTTGTGAGCGTTAAGATCCAAATTTGTGTGATAAAAGCCGAAGCATCAGGGCTGTGTCGGGGTTAAAGGAGGGGAAGCAAGCTGAAAAATCCCCATTTTATAGTCCACCTGGGGATGCACAGGGCGCCCTTCACACATTAGCCATCCCAAGTGCTAATGGACTTTCCTGGGTGGATGTCTGCGTAACTGGGTTAACAAAAATATTGTTATTGTGTGTGCAGTCTCAAAATCCAGCACCAGGGGACGTTTAACAGAGGCAGATTGAGCAAAAACAAACCGCTGCGGTAATGGACAATTACAAACAGATAGTGTTACACTCTTCAGCCCCATGCAGCTGCTGTGGAGGCTGCTGCTGCTGGAGCTGATCATAACAGCACTGTGACTTTTACCATAAACTGCAGCTTTGCCCTCCGTCTCCAAGGACGTCCTCGGCAGTTTAGTCTCAGGGTTTGATCTAATAAGAGAATGGAGTCATATCTGCTCAATATGTTAAACCGTTTCAATGTCAGACGAGGCAGACGAAGGTGTTCACCTTTGACTGAAACTATGAGTCATTTCAAATAAACGCTACTACGCTTAGATGTCCAATTCGTTGTCAAAGCAGTGACCTTGAAACTCCAATTTTGTTTTATTTTTTGTTTTATTTTTATTTTGTCACTTTAATGAAAGACTTACACTCTACTTTGTTGGTTTAGATGAATATAAATCACTTGATTTAACTGATTAATTTCAGTTTCCATTAGATAAACGCAAAAACACATTGTGGTGAAGCTAAAAACATGGCTGTTTCTCTTTATTCCTTTGAGGTTTTTGACATAAAAACATTATTTTGCTTAAGGCTACATTGTGTTTTCACAAACCTATCTGACCATTTGACTCTGTTTATTCTTTTTTGGATGGTGACAAGTTATAAGAAAAGATCAGTCAGAAAAAGATGAGGTCAGAAAGTCAGATTTGAACACCTACTGTTGAGTAGCCTTCAGAGGATGTTCAAATAAGAAAAACCTTCCTTTTGAAACGTTTTCGGTTCAAGCTATTTGCTCTACTTTCTGCTGGCTTTATTCAGTTCTGCTCACTTCCACCATGAAATCATTGTTTTATTCAATCTATCACTGAAAGTGCTCAGAAATGGGAAGTAGACAGCAGAGCTTTCACATCTTAAATGATATTGAACGTAAAAAGGTCTCAATTGATGAGAAAGTGAAACAAAAGATGTAACCGTTTTCCTGCAGTTCACCTAAAAACTGCGACTTTCAGACTAATTTTTATTTAAGTGACACTTTTGTGGGGGGAGAGATGTAGTAAATTATCTTGGTGGGGGTGTAGCCAGCAGATTTAACAAATGTGTCATAAGTCAGAGCTTCCTGTGAAAGGAGAGATTTCCGCCTCTTATTTGATTTGTCCGGATCAATGATTGGGATTACGCTGTTTTCACACCACTTTGTGCGGCAAAGAGGTTTTCAATTAACTAATGTGTAGATTACCATCAATCTCTCAACCAAAAGCCAATCTTATCCTCCCCAATTTGTCGAGACAAAGAGATAACTGGGAATCTTTGATTAGCTTCCCACATTCTTGACATGTCCATATCCTGAAGGCTGACACCATTTCCAATTGTGTCACACTGTCCATCATCCTCCTTCAGGAAGTAGTAGCAGTGGAGTGATTGAGAAGATGCTTTCATGTCCAGGATTATCAGTTTCCTGATTTATAATTTGCTCAAATCAGCTGAGATAGCTTTACACCACTGAGTTATATCTGTGCTTGTACCTGAGTTGTAAGGTCATATATTCATCATCAAAGCATGAAGGTTCATGCTCTGTGTTGTTGCCTGTGTTCCAGTGTCATGGTCCTGGCTGAGGATCCCTGGAGTGCTACAGCGTCTGGGCTTCACCTACTTTGTTCTCTCTCTTCTGCAGACTTTCTGGGGCCAGAAAGAAATCTCTCTGAGAGTGGTGAGCAGCTCTGTCACGTTCACTTTAGTCTGTCATTACACACAAGGGCAAAAAGGACCAGTCTAGCCTGAAACAACACATTTATAAACAGCTAAGTCACTGCATGCACCTTGGATTCCTGAGTCCATTTTTGTTATTCAGTCTTTTCATTATTGCTCTGATAACTGGCCAGACATTAGGGCTGTACCGAAATTATTATTTTTTAAACATTCAAAGCTTCTATTAAGGTTTTTGAAGAAGGCCTTGAAAGTCTGTTTTCATGTTTTATGACGTTGTCACCCTAAAAAATACAATGAAATTAAAAAACAAATCTCTGAACAAAATAATAATAATAATAATAAATTAGTTGTGCTGAAAATGAGTCTTTTTTTAAATTAAATTAGCTTTCCTAAATGAATAAATATAATTTATGGTGCAGTCAGATTGTTGCTAAACTGCTCCTCTGCTACTAGTGGATCTGCTGCTAGCATAACCCTGCTTGTTTTTACCATGGGAGCTAACCAGCCAACAGGAATAGCTTATAGTATGCTGTTTTGTGTTATCACCATTTACACCACCAACTTGGAGAAAACCACAGTTACCTAACTGTGGTTACTTAACAGCGGGCCCCGTCTTTGGGCCTGTGCCAGTAGGTTTCACTCCCAGTAGGTCCTCACTGGTAAGTCTCACCATGTCTCCAGCTTTGCAGAAATACTGAGTTTAAACAGAATAAATAGAAATGGAAAAAACATCTGCTGCATTCAAATGTTGATTTAGCATTCGGTACAGCCCTACAAAACACACTAAAATAAAGTTTCATGTTAAAAAGTGTCAAAGATATGAGCGGGGTTTTTTTTAACAAGATTTGTGTTCTGCGTGATCCAGAATGACTGGTGGAACCCGGTCCAGGATGTGGTCCCTTATTGGTCCCAGTGGCTAATTATCATCCTGCTGGAGACTCTGTGGCTCTGCATCACTTTGCTCATGCCTGTACCCAACTGCCCCACGTAAGTCCAAGCAAGGCACCCACTGTCATGTAACTGAGTCCAATCCACTCATTAATCCACATATGCTGAAAGTGTAAATCTCTCCATGCTGAGATAATCTCCAGACGGGGCTGTTGCGCTGCTGCAGAGGTGTTAGTGTGCAACTTGTGTTGCTGGTGTTATGAACCGCCGTGATTTATGGGCCTGTGGTGGATGCTTCAGAGGGCATAATTAGCCAATCTCAGTCTGTCATGTGCAATAAGAGCAGCGGAGGCAGAGGATCCATCTTCCTCGCTCTGTGTCTTCTGCTCAGTGCTGCTTTTAGTGTGTGTTTTTTCCCCACATTTCTGTGACCCTGCATGGCATCAGTGTTAGAACAGTGTGGGGTCAAACAGTAGCGCTTATGTTTATTCCAGCATCTGATTGGTTTATTTTTGTCAGTGGAATGTGAGCATGTGTGGTTCACACAAATCTCATACAAAGCTTAAAAATAAGGGGGATGATCTTCATCAGACAGAAAAATCTGCCTGAGGAGCTTCCTTTGGTTAAATTGTCCCATGTTCCTAAAATTAATTTTGAAGACGTGCATTTCATTTTATTTTCTTAATCCTTTTTACCTATTTTGTTACATTTTCAATGTTTTAAAATGTCTTATTCTTTTAATACTGATTGTACTACATTATTTATTATCAGAGGATATTTGGGAGCTGGTGGAATCGGTGATCACGGTCTTTACCCAAACTGCACTGGAGGTGCAGCAGGATACATTGATAGATGGATGTTTGGTGACAACATGTACAGATACCCCACATGCAGAGTAAGATCTTTTTCACAGTCGGCATTCATTATTTTAGACATCTCTCTTAAAACCTTGCAGGTAGATTTAAAACCATTAAAACAACCTTGCCGTACCTTTTCATCTTGTTTTTCCAGGAAATGTATCGCACCACGCAGCCCTTTGACCCAGAGGGGGTTCTGGGTACAATTAACTCCATTGTCATGGGATTCTTGGGGATGCAGGTAAGATGGATCATTTACTTCTCCTGTGTGATTCAACAAGTGCTACAAGCATATCTCTAATATTTCAGAGTTTTTTAAGTGTCAGTAGTATTCTGTTGCTGTTATTTATATCCAAATGTCCTATTACTTGGAAATAGGAATCATGCCCCTTATGATACTGTATTTGATGACACTTTATTTGGATGGTCCGCCTACAGATAGTTTAGAGTATATAGAGTATTTGTAACATTTCAACAGCTTATTAGTTGAGATTCATCATCCATCTTTGTCTATAGATGTTTGTTGATAGAGTATATGTTACATATTCTTGAGGAATTTAATTAAATTTGAACTATTTATTCAACCCGTGCCGCACAGGTTGAGTGAATAGTTCAGTTTAATTATTCTAAGAATATGTAGGCATGTTCATGAATTGTCACGTATACTCTATAGATAATCTGTTAAATATAGACAGAATAAGATTAACAGTTAAATTGTTGAATCTTAACTAATAAGCTGTTGAAATGTTACAAATACTTCATAAACTACCTGCAGGTGGACAATTCAAAGACTGTGACCATGTATTTTTGCAAATTTATAGTTTAGCTTAGTTAAGATGGTATTTGTTGAATAATTATGAAGGCTAATTAAAGGGTCAGGCCACTCTCTAATTTGTGTAATGGTATCTGACATTCATTAAAAAAAAACAGTAATCTGTCTTTTCATTAACATTCACATTCAATGTTGATGTTAAGTAAAAAGTAGTTCTAGTGAAAACTTTTACCAGCAGGAAAGCTGGAACAGTTTCAGGAACAATTTGTTGGTTTTGTCTTTAACAAGTGTCTTTAATTTAATACTTTAAACAAACAAAATTCCATTCACTTCCATTGTACTTGACTAGATGACAGAAATGTGACATTTTAGAATCTCAGAAGGTTTAAAATGACATGCTGATACAAGTAGAAGTATGAGAGAAAATACTGCACTGTTCTTCTGTGATTTAGGTGAACTGCCTCCTAATGTCCACAATTCTGGCCTCTGATTGGCTGAGAGAAGTAGCTTCTTTATTTCTGTAGAACCAAACTTAATCAGTGAAGGTTTACTGATCACATGCAGAAGTCAGATGTGTGATTGTGTGATTGTGATTCAATCAATAGTGTAGAGATAGAAACCAATCAGAACTATGTGTACAATGACCTTAATCTGAATTTCTTACATCTAAACATTTAACATTCATATTTGTGATTAAACTGGGATCATTTCTGTATCAGAGCTTCTTTACCTAGAGGATCCGTGATGTTCTTCAATGCTAAGATGTGAATAAAAAGATAGATCAGAAACAGAGACAGCAGTTAACTGTGTAGTTAAATGAAGGTTATGTGAAAGACTCTTCCCCATCTAAGTGAAAGTGCACAGCTGCCCTCCTTTAATGACAAAATGTTTTTCAGACAGTGAAGAGAGAGCTTTTGGTCTTTAGACCTACAGCCTCTGATGGCGGCTGTGTCACTTATAACCATTTGTGTTGTGGGAAGTAGCCACGCAAAAGCAGCCACATTGCTCAATTCCCAGTGGGCGGTTAACATTGAGCCTTTCAGTCAGCGAGTCTTAGACGACACACCAGGTGTCCGCTGCCCTCCTCTGTGCTCGCCCGTCCTAATGTCCTCAGCTGAAACATATTCATCATCACCAAATTAATCAGAGGGTGTGGATGACTTACACACCACATCTGGCTCAACAGGATAGGAGAAATGTGACCGCCATGTCAGGGACATAGACACCCACATCCCAGGCCTATTTGGTTACCCAAGGGCAAATACATGCAGTTATTGGTGTTTACATGGCATTTCTCATTAAATGTGGGATTGAATGAGTTGTGGTGTCTGTGCTTATCTCTGCCTCCTTCTCCGCAGGCTGGGAAAATTATCATTTTCTACAAGGGGATGAACGCCCGCATCCTCTGTCGATTCCTAGTGTGGGCCGTCCTTCTGGTACGTTACATCATGTTGGGATTTTAAACACAGCTGGTGAAGTAAACGAGTATAAAAGTCAATTGGTAATTTAAAACCAAGTCAACAAATCACTTAAATCATCGTTCTGCTTGTATGACTCACACAAAGCTGAGCACTTTTATGGTCTGGCCGTTTTACTTCGCCTCGCAGGTAAATTCTGCAACGTGTTTTCCAGCCCCTTGGTATTAGTCATAGCCCGCCGAAGCCATTCATTAGCAGGACTTAGTAGAGGACATGTGTGTGATCTCGGTACAATTAAACAACATCCGTGTGTGGCTGTGTTTCCGGGCAGACATGGGTATCCAGCGCCTCAGGGGGATACACACTGTCTCTCATTGCCTGCGTGCCTCACATGTGGTTTTAGATGAGAAGAGTTGCACATATTACTTACAGTCTACTGCAGTCAGTAGCACCGGATGAAGAGTATGATTAATTCATATACCTGCACACTAAGTCTCAACAAACATTTACACACCAATCACAAGAATGTATGGATGAAGTGGTATAACAGCATAAAGTCCATTGAAACCCAGAATAAAAAGATAGATTTCTTCATAAATCTGCTAGGATAGAATTTGAGGTCTTATTTGTTTTGGATCTGAATTCATTCTGGGTGGTCTCAAAACACAAGAAGAGGCAAGCTGGCCTCTATTTCATTTAGAGGGGGAATGTGTCCCACAGGGAGAAGCCAAGTGTTACATGAGAAAGCCCGTTTTGCATTTCTAAACCTGCGACAGGAGGCTGTTAGGCTGCTCTAAAGAGATTGACAGATATCCCTGTAGAAAAGCCAGGCTTTGCTGCACTGTGCTTGGCCACTGTTTGTGTGTACGTACAGTGAGATGCTGCAGAGATGTAGCCAGTTTGCAAAACGGGGTTAGTGGGAGCCTGCATGCTGTGGAGGCAGACATCCTGAACTGGCAGCGCTGTGACCTGAAGCGATGATGGAGCTGGAGGAGCTGGCTGCATCACCCGGCCTTTGAAATCAAACTGAGCAGGATGAAAACAAGGGGCCGGGAGACGCAATCAGAGAAACACACAGTAACAGATCCCATTAGTTTTAAGTTATGTAGTTGTTGTATATTATTGTGCCTTGTCTGCTATTCAAGATATCAGGTTTGTTCAGACTGGCATGTATAACTGTTTCTTCTATGTGATTAAACCACACAGAGGACCCTTAGATTAAGTAAACAGTGTCATCCATTAACTTTTGTTTTATCAGCACTATATCTGTCATAAAGGTCTGTTGCGTCAAGTCAGGTTTATTTGTGCAGCCCCATATCTCATGCAATATCTCAATGGTGTTTTCAGGCCCACAATAGCAATGATTCCTCTTCCACCCTGTCCAAAGAAGAAACAACCCCAAAACCTCAGCATGTAAGAAAAAAAGACAGCAGGTCTTCAGCCATGCTAGTAGCTCTGAAGCTGCATTTAAGCACAGCTGTGTTTCAAGCTAAACGCTAACATCAGCATGCTAATATGTTCACAACAACAATGTTAACATGCTGATGTTTAGAAGGTTTGTTTACTGTGTTCCTCATTATAGTTCAGGGTTTTAGCATGCTAACATATGTTAATTATGTACAAATTGCAGCTGAGGCTGATAGGAATGTCATTAGTTTGCAGGTATTTGGTCACAAACAAGCCCCCAGGAGCAGAGCAGGCTTTGAAGCCAATATTTGTAGTGGCCAAGCTGTGAAATTACAACTTTCTGGTCCGTCATATGATGCCATGGGGCCCAAGAAGACTATTTCCTATCGACTGAAACTGTGAAAGAGATGTCAGTGGATAACATTTTTTGAGCATCACAACCCCCGCGAAATGGGTTGTTTCACAATTGGGATTTGATCCATTTGGTCCAATTACATTTAACAAGTCTCAAAGAGTGGCTTGACTAAATCATTTTAACCCCATTCAAGTTAGTCAAGAGCTAAACGCAAAGTTAACTGCTTGGCCACCAAAGCCTCTAGTGCGCTTGCTCTATGGGCCCAACAGTGAGGGAGATCCAGGTAATTTGATACCTGGGAATTCAAACTTTTTTGGCTTCATGCCACTGAGCAACTTTCATAGGAATTAACATGGCCCGGTCTCCAACACTTTATCCAGTTCTCTTTATACATCCATGGTCACAATCCATGGATTGGACAAATTAAAATGTTGGTCTGATCATGATTTTAGATGAAAAATCAAGCCACAAAAAGTTAATACAATTTGTCCTGAGGAGAACAGGAATGTCAGTACTGAATTTTATGGCAATCTGTAGATGTCAAGACATTTCACTCACTTTTCACATTTCACAAGTTACAAATTTGACCTCATTGTGGTGCTAGTAGAAAAGTTTTAAAGATCCATCATCTGGAAACCATGAATGTCTATACTGAATTTAATGCCAGTCAATTTAGTAGTTGCCAAGAATTTTCACTGAAAGAAGTAAGGGGAGGTCTGTACGACATTCCCCAAAAATCCATCCAGTGGTTAAGATATTTCAGTCTGAACCAAAGTGGTGGACAGATTCTGTTGTACATAATACAACAACAGTTTTATAATCCAATAAGGTTGAAGTAGGTTCAGTATTGATGTACTAAATCCAATATAAGAAGTCCAGTAGTCTGAGGAACGGGTCTTTAGTGTTTGTGAATCAGGAAGAATCCTGCTCATATATGTGAGAATCAATTGAAATTCTGTTGTAAGAATTTAACGTCATTAACCTCAATTCTTAAATGACAAATCTCCCCATTTTGTCTCCTGGTGTTGAATCTTATTGACTATCACTGTGGAGCGAGTGACTGGAGGGAGGTGAAATAAATTAGATCCATTTGGCTTCTCCCAGAGGCACAGAGTGATGAAGTAACACATGAGGAAATAAATAAACATTAGGCTTTTATGTTTTGCCACTGTATCTCATGGTTCACTGCTTAATGCTACACAGCTGATGTGGATTCCGCTCAAGATTATGATGTTGAAGATGTTATATTCACGATCATACAGTGTTTAGTGATGAATCAATACAGATCCTGGTTAACTGAAACAGAGAATAACAATAAAATAGATTTCCTCACTTTGCAATGGTTGACAGAGAGAGCTGGCCTCTCTTATTGATTCTGGGAAGAGATACAGACCATGTGTAAAGTATGAATGCAGCATCTGATTGTGTTCTACTGTATATGTTGGTTTCTTTTTTAATCTCGGTAGCTAAATCTATTTTTAGCCTCACAAAATGTTTTCTCCAACAAAGAAAGCAAAATTAGTTTTAGTGATTGGCCTGCTCGTGATATTGACTTTTCTAATACGATTTCGCCTCAGAGGGGAGGCAGTAAGCAGAGCTGAACTGCTTCTTGTTTCAGACATGTGCTCTTGACATTAGCAGGTTCCCTCAGTGGAGGAGGGAGCTCATTTCTGCAGGCACCCAACCACAGGATTGATATTATGCACAGGAGGTTCGCAAAGATCAGAAAGTGTTGATACAGTAAACGACAAGCCAGATTTTACACCACAGTTCACTGTAGTGTGATTTCTGTGGTGGATTGATATTCAGGAGCGGCCATGCATCTTCCTCCTAATAAACAACAGCCCCTGTTAATTAAAGTCCAACGATCAGGCTCCAGAAGTGAGAGATTGAAATTGAGCGATTGCCCCACATACCAGCCCCGTCCCACATCCTGCTGCCTGGATAGCCTGGAGACTCAATCCAGCCCCGGCTAGGCTATTTCCACACCATCGATTCTGTCATCTATACACATGATGGATATCCACCTAACAAGCATGTTTGGATTCTGATCCACTGCCCTGGGTTTCTCTGTGGAGCACAAAATGTTTCCTCAAGTATCTAAATCATATGTAAAGGTAAATAGATGGGACAATAAAAGCTTTTAATGATGAAGAGTTCATGAGATCATACACAATTCCTCTGTTTCGTGGCCAATAAGGCCGTGAGTCAACTTCACATGGGTGCGATTCTTTGTTCGGCCCTCTGAGGAGCACAACTTTGTGTTTGCAGTCAGATATTGTGCATGTGTATTGATGCACCTTGTTCATCTGACTTTCAGATAATCGGTTAATCTACCGGACTCGCTTGATTCTGTTGCCTCACGTTTTAGCAGCCCAATACGGCTTGCTATATCGCCCTCCATCGATTTGAAACCTGTTTCATTTCCACCCTCAGGGAATCTCTGCAGCCATCCTTTCTAAGTGCACACGAGACGGAGGATTTATACCTGTCAATAAAAACCTTTGGTAAGTGCTTCCTGACCCTCTAAATCCAACCACTTTTCCTCACAAAAGAAAGGATGGGTTTCCAACAGGCACAAATCAAGGCCGCTAAAACACGCGTTTACTTACCTCTAACGACAGCTACGACTGTAAATAATCACCCCCGCTGTCGGGAGTGTGAGGTGGTTATACATCCTCCCAACATGATCACTCTTCCTTGCGGCCAGGAAAATAAAGGATGCTTTATCCTCTCTACTCACTCACTACACATTTTACCAGCTCTGTGAGATGAAATGGGATCAGCCTCTGGGAAAAGCATCTGTGTAGTGTAGTCTAACCGCTCCCAAACTATCACATGCCTTTTTGGTGAAACAAGGCACGGCATCTTGACAAATGTTTGTAGTGGTTTTGCATGAAATACAGCGCAATTACTACCTCCGACGTAGATTACTTTACGACCTGTGCATTTGTTCCACTCCCACATTCCCCTTAATATGATGTGAATCATTTTAATGTTGCAGCAGGAAGAATACCATTTCATCTGTGATGTGTAAGCAAATTCTTCATGATGTTCCACAGGGGCCCCCACTAACGCTGTGCTCATCCCTCGCCATTACCTGCCTGGCTTTTATAGGCAGTTCATCATACACAGGTTATTGAGCTCTTGAGTATGAGTCCCTGCCTGGATGTCTAGAAGTAATTAACTCCCAGCTAAGAGTCCTTTTTGGCCCCACTTCAGCTGAGATTGAAAAAAAAAAAAAAGCCCACTGCAAGGAGGCTCCAGGAGGCAGCCATTTTACATCAGATGATACTACATCAAACATTCTTGCACTTAGGAACAGACAGGGACATGGCTGGCTGGCACGGCTCCACGGGGCACGTGCCAAGGATCCACTGCTGATGTTTTAGAACAATCCAGCAAACTGTCCCGCAGTTTGCTGGATTGGCTCGAGACCCCTGGGTGTTATTTATCTGCAGTGCAGGATTGATAGACTCCATGTTTTTACACCCTTGTTCACAACACACCACTAACATTTTAGTGATGCCCACATGTACAGAGTAAAATGTTGCTGTAATTTGTTGTTAATGGTGTGTTTCTACAGGTCGTTGTCTTATGTGATGTGTATGGGATGTTTCTCTTTTCTGCTGCTGGGAGGCATGTACTTTGTCTGTGATATCAAGGGCTGGTGGGGCGGACAGCCATTCATATACCCAGGTACTGTTTACCCACAAATCAAAGGGCTCAGTGCATTACACCTGCATATTTTTAATGATAATAAAAACATTATTGGCACATGATTGCACACCTTCACCATTTAAAAATCAAATCTCTAATAGTAGTGATGAGCCCAAACAAAATTATCACGACTCTAATATGCTCTATTGATCATTTTAATGTCTTTCAGCCCATTGTTTTGATTTTATGTTGTGTAAATTTTACTGTTTTGGTGAAATCTTACCTCTCATCATTGTTGTTTCCATTCACGTGCAGCTATATTCAGCTAAAATGCTCTAAAAACTCCACTGAACAGTGCATGCCTGGAATTTAACAGACAGTAAGCAACTAGCTAGGTAAAATAGTTCAATTAAAATTAAACTTGACTAAAAGTGAATGCTAATGTTGCTCTGTATCAGTGTGTAAATAGGCATCTGTTTGCTAAAAAGTTTACTATATTAGCATCAAAGATGATGACATCATTGGTGCAGTGTTTTCAGGTAGTTTACCCTTCCACAAAGGGGTCAAAGTATCAGTTATGTAGGTTTACAGGAAAATGTTAGTATATTTCAGCCTGGGTTCTATTGTAATAGTTGCAGCCATTTTGACTTTGAGCTAACTTTGCACTCGCTTCATCCATTTTAGTAGTTCAGAAAACAGGAGTTTTGGTATAATGGGTCAATCAAATGCTAAACTCCAGTTTACAGTCATCTTAAAATGCTTGTCTTAGACTCCAACCAAAGTTAAACACAGTTATTAGCCTCCTGGATTAGCTATTGTAGCTAGCTGCATAGGGGTCTACCTCCAAAGCAACTTGCAGGTTAACCAAGCGAACTGTCTATTAATCTGCAGTAATAAGAAACATTTAATACCTATCATTTTATATATTGCAGGATTCTACTTCAACAGGGGTTAATAATACAACGGGTTTGATTGCTTTGTCTGGGTTTTTATGGCTGTTTTGGTCTAGCTCCCTGTTATCTGTACTTCCAGTTATGTGTTTACTCTTGGTCAGACTCAGAGACAAGTGTTTGACCAGCCCAGTCGCCAGAGGAAAATGTTGGCATTGTACATTTCTGCAAATCACGCATTTGTACATTCCATAGATAGCACATAAACATTTTTAAAGTGAAGTCATTCAGGTTACATGTATGTGAACTGAGTTTCTCATCGGGAGGAGGGGATGCTGGATGGCATGGCAAGACAGCTGCCAACAGCAACATACAACAGCAGACACCTGCTGCCTGTAACAAACAAAAGCTGGTATTATTTAACGACACTATGGGACATTTCCTGTTATGTTTGTTTTGACCAAACTGGGTATTTGAAGTCAAAACATGATGTTTTCCTAACCCTAAACATGCCTTAACATAAGCACACATTAACCACAGCATTGTCACAATATAAAACTTAAAACTAAGACATAAAAAACATTGCAACATAGCCGCTACACATGAGATGTGCAAATGTAACATATCTATGGTTTACAGAATCATATAAGGCCAACACTTATTCTGGCAATTGGGTTTGATTGACAGGACTAATATAGAATTGATGTTTATTTTGGATGCTTGCCCTGAAATACTTATTTTGTCCGAATTTACAGAGGTGCTGAGTGCAGTGTAGCATGACGGATGAAGAATAACACCTGGGTTGGGAAAAAAGGAGTTCTGTCAATAACAACTTGTGTTTGTCTCTTCTCCTCTCCTCCTCAGGGATGAACTCTATCTTTGTATATGTTGGACACTCTCTGCTGGGTTTCTACTTCCCGTTCAGCTGGGAGATGCGCTTCCAGGAGAGCCACTGGGAGTGGCTATTCCAAAGCCTGTGGGCAACTGCACTGTGGGTGTTCATCGCTTACCTGCTGTACAGGAAGAAATTCTTTCTCAAAATATAAACTAGGATGATCATCTGTCACTTTTCAGTCTGTAGATGCCATTATCTTGTGTTTTAGTTCTAAACAGACAGTATTCATGCTAAATTATATAGATTATTATAACATCTGGTGGAGATATCTGGCCTCCTGTTCTTGGCTTAATCAGTTTAGTTTACTTTTCAGTGTTGTACAGCCTACCAATGTACATTTCAGTGAATCAATGCTAATATCCAAGCCATCTGATAAATCATGCAGCTCAAACACAAGCTGCAGCACAGTGGCAAAAGTATGAAAATGTTAATCCATTAAACCCACCTAATCACCAGCCAGTTTCTAAAGAAGATGTCTGATCTACTGTCAGTGTGGGCAGCTGAGGATTTATTTGATGCCTCTTGTTTTGTGCACTGAATAGACTGATTAAATCAAATATACTGAGGTGGTACTTAACAAATTAGGCCGAGTGATTCCACTACACACCAGGCCAGCCATTATGAGTCTGTTGCCATGGCCACTCCTTCTCCTTCTGTGTGTGTGTATGTGTGTGTGTGCGGATACCATCTGCTGTCCAAGTGACAGTACTTTAATAGGGGTCAAGATGCACAGCTCACAAAGGAGTGTCATTAATGGGACCGACACCTCTTGCACTCATTGTATTAGAAAATCAAGGAAATTACACAAATCCAATTCATCAGAGAACAATGACGAGCCTCACAGAGCCTGGGCCCGTTACATCTTTTACATATTTAACACATTAAGCCACTCACCTACTGAAACAGGGTTTATTTTCACACCTGGATTATGTTTCTGCATGGTTGACAACTGCTTGAGTGATTTAATGATACTTTTGTAGGATGTATACTAACTGTATTGAACACACTCAGATCAGCGTGCCCTCGGTATCATGTCAGGTGGTGTGTACATCATGAAATGACCATCTAGTTAATGAAATGAAACAGCATCATGCTCTTCCTCCACAGTAAAATCACATTACCCACTGTTCAGAAGCTGTAATAACATTGCGTAATATGGTGTAGTGGTTTAGGTAACTGTCTTATTAACAGAAGTTGTTGTTTGAATCCCTGAAGGTGCATCCTGCTTTCTTGAACAGGACTCAAGTCCATAATTGCTTTCCCAAACTACCGTGCCAACAATGGAAACGCATAGCTGCATCTTCTTGAGATGAAAATGAAATCAATACAGACTCACCACCAAGGTCTAAAGATATCTTTTGTGTGCAATTATGAAGCTTTGTATTTAAATATAAGCATTTCGCTGACTCATCCGGAGCGACTTACAGGAACTGAAGATGAGCTCCAAAGCCATTAGAAGCAGCACAAGAAACTGTTGATGAAGATCAAAAGGATCAAAATAAGAATGTCTCGACTGCCGAGATGATAAATATTCTGCTTATGTTTCAGACTGAATTTCTGCTGAACCCATGTGACAGAAATATTGTAAGAAAGAAAAGCTGATAAGATTGCATTGTGGTTCCACATACCATGACTACACCACAACAATTCCTTGTCTTTATTGATTCTCATCGAGCATATGTCTCAGGATACCTATAGTCTGTCATATGGAAACTTTATCCCAGATACAGTGTTCTCATTTAGACCGCTCAGCTTCTTATATCACATAATGATCCACGCAGTCTCCCTTGATACAGCAAGCAGCATTACATTCATCCCCCCTATACAGTGTAAGTGAACATCTGCTAACGTACTGACATCAGTTTCACATATAAAGACAACATGTTATCTGGAAGCAAGTGGCAATTTTCAGACCTTTTCTTTATAGTTTTTAAGCTGTAACTACTAGATGGGCCTACTAGGCACAGGCCCAGGGGCCCAACATGTCAGTGGGCCACCTGGCCATCACTTGCAAAATGTCACTCAAGTTAACAAATACCAACAAGGAAGAGACTCAACATGATCACAAAGGAACTTCAAAGAGATGCAATATAACTAAAAAACAGGCAAAACAACTACAAGGAGACACAAAATGACCACAAAGAGAAACAAACCAACACAAAGATGCATAATGACTACATAGAGTACAGCTCTTTCTTTCTTTTACCCCCTGCTGATTCCTCGTATAGGTTTCTTCCTCTTTATGTACAGTCTACAGTTTCTTCTAGTATTTTCCTTTTAAAACAAAATACAGTTTAGTCAATACAAATTGAGTAAACCAAAAAACAGCAGGTGCAAATATAATAGCGGTGTTTTCTTCCACTTGGTGAAAGTCACTGGAGCTCCTGTGAAGCCCTGCTGTCCCCTCTGCAGCCAAGCGAGCTCCAGTGTTTTTGCTCCATGCAGAGACATTGATTAGAGAGCGATTGCTATGTGAGTGACTGGTGTCCTGCCCCGAGGCTGCAGCAATGCATCACTCCACACCATGCAGTCACAGAGAGAGCCCTCAACTGAACGACAGCCTTTAGCCTCAGACATACACTCAGGGCCTAAGAGGAGAAAAAGGTCCCACAGAGTTCGGCCAGAGTCACACAGCTGGTCTAACAGCAGTCAGCTGATTAGGTTCTCAAATCTGGCACATTAAGTATATTTAGATAGACACTTTATGCTAGTCAGCAGTGGAGCATTATTAATCCTGGCTTGGCAGTAATTATAATATACGTATATATATTGGGTGGACCCAATCATTGCTGTGCGTTGTTTGTCCAAGTGGTATTGCCGCACCCCAACAGAACACAACTCACAGACATAGTGCCCCAGGAATGAGTCCTAAACCTGATAATGAGTTGGTATTTCACCACTCACAGTTCCCTCCTTAAGAGATTTTTACAATTTGTTCTACAACATAAAATACGTTAGTAAGTATCCCACTCGTAAATGGCAAAGCTTCTATGTGTCTTAAAAAAGTCAGTTGCTGACAAATGGCTAAATGAGACTACAGAAAGTCATCGTGACGGAGCCACGCTGAACGTGGCTTTACAGTCTCATTAGAGTGGTGACGTTAGGTCATGCGACTGTTGTGTCGTTGGTTTATACCCTAATGCTGGCTTTTTATTTGAGTCCTTATGAGTCCTAAAATGCGAAAATGAGTTCTTGCACTTCCAATTCTTGAAGTCAAGTCATTTTCTTGGATTTTTGGTTACATGCCTGAAATATGGTTTGTGGTTAACACAAGCTTAAAGTTTGTTCTATGACATGAAATACACCTCACTCGTGAATTCTGAAGCTTTAACGTCTTAAAAAAATGAAACTACAGCCTTTCTGACGTTGAAGTTGTGACCGTGTTGTATTTCGTCTATAGCTTAACGTTAGCTTTTGACTTCTAGTGATTGCATTTAGGCTTCAGTAATCATGAAAGTGGTGTTCATTTGTGAGGATTTTCTTGCTGAGCAAAATGTCTAAGTATCATTGAAGTTTGTTTTCCACGGGACCAATTTTTTTTTTTTTAATTAATCCAAAATCCAACAGAAAAATCCCAAAGGCTTTTCGATGAGGGAACCATCCCTGAGGTGCTTTATTCAAATAACCTTAATGGTCTTATTACGTTATATCTGTCAGATAGCCCACATGAAGTCTGGGTAAAGTGTCATTTATGTTGTACTGCGTGTTTAATTAATGTAGACAGTAGTAGCTTTCATGTATATGCATATTCGCATAGTTTACTGTATAGCTGTACTTGGTTGTGATAAATAATACAATAAAGCCTCGTAAGAAATTAGTTTTCAGATTTTTTTTTTTTTTCTGGGGTGGGGGGGCCTCTGGCATATTTGCCCACCCAATGTTGACTTCATGGCTACGGCCTTGCCATATGGTTTTTAGGGCTGCAGCTGTGGTTCATCATTTAACCAAAGCACTCTGCTACCTCCCCACTGACAGGAGTTTATCTGATGCTGGGCCACTGACTGAAACCTTGCGCTTAAATGTAACCTTTGAAAATGCTTGAATCCACTGAGGTAATGTATTAATGGTGCTACTAGATGTGAAATAATTATTATTTTGAAATAAGATTCATACATAAGTGATACAAGTCTGTTATAATGAAGCAATGTTAACAGCTGATACCCTTTTTAAAAGCAATGCCTGTACCTTTAAAATGCACCATTACGCATTTAATGATAATTGTTAATAATTTTTCCCCCGCAGAGTGTTAATGAGGTGACTGACCTGCTGTTAAATTATGCTCTTAAATTTCCTGTAGATGCTGTGTTGCCTGCTGCTGCGGAAGCAGCGGGGCACTGAGTGGTGAAGCAGTGAGCCTCCTCCCCCTGTCCAGCCAGCCAGTCAGTCAGCCCAGCAGCAGCCACTGGAGCCGCACACAGCAGCCCGTCTATGGGACACTGAGGATTTCATCTGGCTGCCCGGAGCCGCGCACACAGGACGCACGCTGGTTTATACAGCGCCTTCATTTCCTTTTTTATCGGTTTGATTTTTCTTTTATTTCGTCGCTCAAAGGAACTTTTTTTCAATCTCGTTTTCATTCAGAAACTTTCACTTATGGTTCGCAAAGATGGGGTCAAGTCGTGGTTTCTCTCGGGGAAACGTCGTGGTGGTGGTGCTGCTGCTGCTACAAGGTAAGGTTCATCATCAGTTTTATTGTTAGAGTCATGCCGGAGGACCACAAGATGAGATTGGAAACAGTTTTAAATACATTTTGCACTAAAATATGTTTCCAAGTGACTTGTTTTGACAAAGATGAAGACATTTATGAAAAAAAGAAGGAGAAAAAGTCTATTCTTTATGTTAATTCAGAGGAGAAAATAGTGTTTTCTTATCCTCTGCCCTGTTTGAGACATTATCTGTTAATCTGACAGCATCAGTTTTTGTTTAAAGCATCTTCATCTCTGGCCGCTCCTGCCAGTCAGAAATGCAATTACTTTTGGTATGAGCACAGCAGGAGCTTAAATATGTTTTGGTTTGGGATGCACTTTAAATTCACAAAATTTATGATTCTCTCCGAAACTGACTGTCATGGAGGAGGGAAAAAAAAGCTGAAGAGAAATACAGAGAGGAAAAGATCTCTGAGCTGCCACAGACAGAGCCAGTGGACCTGAAGTCTGATAAACACACATGGAATTGGCTGCTCATGTGTAAAGCTAAATTGCTTTGCTAAATTGCAACATTTTGGAGGCTGAGTGCAGTTTTAAGGCTTTTTTCCAAGAACTATCTGAAATGGCACGAACACAATGCCGGCACTGTTTCATGCTGCAGAAAGTGATACTTGCATTGTGCGCCGGTTGTTATGTGTGGTATGGCACACTGAAACCTAGAGTCAAATGAATACAGCCGTATATCATAATATTATAATCCCATTCACAATCCCCACAGCCCAACTGTACCAACACTGTCCTGCCATGCC